CTCACACTGAAGGCTTAGCCAGTTTTTGGCACATAAAAGATAAATGAATGACTATATAAATAGATGGATGCCTTGATGGATGTATAGATGGATGGATGGATGAGATTAAACTAGAGGTGGCCGCATCTACCCAGTCAGTCTGAATACTGGATTTTCATTCTCATGTTTCTTAGCTTATGACCTACTATCTTTTGTTTTGTTCAATTATTCATGTAAAGATGACTTTTCAAAATGAACACATCCTTTGGTTAACTTCCACAACTTAATTTTAATTATAAAACATTTAGGAATAAATTAAATAGGAAATGTGGAAAATTCATATGAAGAAAGTTGAAAACATTCCTGAGAGATTTACAAGATGACTTGAATAAATGGAAAGGTAAACATTGTTTTTAAATAGGAAAGTTCACTATCATAAATCTGTTAATTCTCCTTAAAGCGATTGATACATTTAACTCGATCCCTTCAAAAATATCAGTAGGATTCAGTTTCTAGAGCTGCATAGCTTTTTAAAAAATTCTGCTTCCTTCCCCCTCCCTCCCATCTCCTCCTCTCCTTCGCCTCCCCACATGCTTGTACAAAGCAAAAGGTTTCTTCGTTTGAAAAACTGCACCACTCTTGGGGACAACTTGGGGACGGCAAGCAGAGGAGAGTGAGGGAGAGATGCTGCAAAAAAAAAAAAAAACAAAAGGACTAAGAGAAAGTCTACATTTTAATATCCCACCATATCCCAAACCCTCTTCCACAACTCAGTCAGGAAAACTCTGGCCAACAGGCAAATACCTTCCACCAACAGGATACTGTATGATGCTTCTTTAAATACCTGAAAGCCTCAAAGACTGACATTTTTTGTGTCCTCCAATGAACTAGCTCTATCCTTGCCCAACAGTGGAGCCATTCCTCAACCCCCACCCCCACCTGGCATCATCCTATCCATTTTTGGTGTCTTACTATGAACAGACAGTCAAAGATCATCAGATACTTGGGGAAAGTCTCCAACATGAGAGACCAAAACAAACACAAAAGGAAGCAGGAGAAAATAGAGACAATGTAGGGAGCAAAAGAAGAAAATGCACGTTTTTTATATATATACACACACACACAATGTACAACATTATATATATGTTTTCATGTGCCAAGATATTATATGCAATGTCCCTGTTTGCCTCAAAATGTTGCTTAAGGTCAGAAGGCTGAGAAGAAAAGAGGTATGCCAGGCGTGGTGGCTCACACCTGTAATCCCAGCACTTTTGGGAGGCCGAAGTGGGCAGATTATGAGGTCAGGAGATTGAGACCATCCTAGCTAACACAGTGAAACCCCGTCTCTACTGAAAATACAAAAAATTAGCCAGGCGTGGTGGTGGGCACCTGTAGTCCCAGCTACTCGGTAGGTTGAGGCAGGAGAATGGTGTGAACCCAGGAGGCGGAGTTTGCAGTGAGCCGAGATCGTGCCACTGCACTCCAGCCTGGACTACAGAGCACGACTCTGTCTCAAAAAAAAAAAAAAAAAAAGAAAGAAAAAGAAAAGAGGTGACAAGCACCCGCACCTTTTAAAGAGAGGTGCTAGACTATTCATAGTGGCCAACAGCATGGGCTCAGGAGCCAGAAGGCCTGGGTCCAAATTCTGACTCTGCACTTAGCAGCTCCGTGACCAGGAGCAGATTAGTTCATCTGTCCACACGGTAAAATGAAGAAAGTCAAAGCCTCTACCTCACTGGGTCATTGTGAGGACTGAAGACTACAATAATCCATGGGAAATGTTCAGAACAGTGCCTGGTGCTTAAAGCTCAGCGAACATTAGCCATCATTACTGGTATGCCATTATTAGCCCCTCGCTCACCGCAGACACGTAAAAGGAAAAAAATTCTCTGGATATCGTTGTTAAAATGCAGGTATGTTTCTTATGTCTCCCTGGGGAGCAGAACAGAGCTTTTCCCTACACCTCAAGGCAAGCGAGGAGGGCTTCAGAAAGCCACCCAGAGAGCTTGACCTGTGTCCCTGGAGCTGGAGGACCTCAGGGACTGGTAGCTGGTATGTACCTGTGAAAGCCCACAGGAAAGGTGGGCCTGAGGGAACAGACCCAAGAGAGTTTGGGTTGTGTTAGGAATGCCTCTGTTTCCAGGATTCAGCAGTGAAAAGATTCAGGCACGTTTTCCACGGACTTGATGTGGCCCCATGGGAAAAGGAGTTGGCTTCTAGTTTTCTTGGAAAGAATCCTGTTCTACCAGCTTTCTGCCAAGAGAAGGGCCCTCTGCTGGAAAAGATCCAAACCTACCAAGATGCAGAATCTAAGCAGACAATGTCAAGGGAGCTAAGGTTAAAAGAATCCCCCCAAACTACACGAGTCTCTCATCAGAGAGAAAATCAGCATTTGGAACCTGCTAGGACTTTGATCCTTATCCTTGAACTATTGTAGAGACCAAGGACCAGGGTGGAAAGGTATCAGAGACAAGAGGTCCCAAAGCATGGACCTTCCCCATTAAACTCTCTCCTACCCCCACCCAATAACTATGGACAATCTTCCATCCAACGGTAAACACTAGGGAGAGTAGAGAACTTGGACACCTAATTGGAGATGGATTGGGGTACTGTCTTAGTCCATTTGTGCTGCTGTCACAAAATACCACAGACTGGGTAACTTATAAAGAACAGAAATTTCAGCTGGGCATGGTGGCTCACGCCTGTAATCCCAGCACTTTGGGAGGCCGAGGCAGGTGGATCATGAGGTCAAGAGATTGAGACCGCCCTGGCCAACATGGTGAAACCGCGTCTCTGCTAAAAATACACAAATTAACCGGGCGTGGTGGCACTGTAGTCATAGCTACTTGGTAGGCTGAGGCAGGAGAATCGCTTGAACCCGGGAGGTGAAGGTTGCAGTTGAGTCGAGATAGTGCCACTGCACTCCGGCCTGGTGACAGAGCGAGACTCTGTCTCAAAAAACAAACAAAACAGAAATTTCTTACATTTCTGGGGTCTGGGGAGTCCAAGATCAAGGAGGCACTGACACTGCTGTCTGATAAGGGATGTTCTCTGCTTCCAAGATGGTGCCTTACTGTATCCTCACTGGCAGAAGGCATAAGAGCAAGAGAAGTAAACTCTCTCTGAAGCCTCTTTTATAAGGGCATTAACCCATTCCCAAGGGCAGGGCACTGATGACTTAATCGCTTTCCAAAAGGCCCCACCTCAATACCACCATAATGGGGATTAAGTTTCAATACAAATTTGGAGGGGACACGTTCAAACCATAGCAGATATGAAAGGAGAACCACATCTGCTGATAAAGGTGGAAACAAAAAAGACCACTTGAGAAATTCTGTTCCAGTGGGGCAGTGGGGGACACATTGTCATTATTCCATTAAATATTTTCAAAAGATCAACGTGGTTGCCTCCACCAAAACAAACATAAACAACAAATTGGGTGGTATAAATATGAAAAAGGAAGAACAGAGCTCCTAGATATTAAGAATATGGGACCAGGTGCGGTGGCTCACGCCTGTAATCCCAGCACTTTCGGAGGCCAAGGCGGGCGGATCACCTGAGGTTGGGAGTTCGAGACCAGCCTGACCAACATGGAGAAACCCCGTCTCTGCTAAAAAAACAAAAAAGGTTTAGCGGGGCGTGGTGACGCATGCCTGTAATCCCAGCTACTAGGGAGACTGAAGCAGGAGAACCGCTTGAACCCAGGAGGCAGAGGTTGCAGTGAGCCAAGATCGTGCCATTGCACTCCACTCCAGCCTGGTCAACAAGAGTGAAACTCCATCTCAAAAAGAAAAGAAAAAGAAAAAAAGGAAAAAAAAAAAATATGGGCTAATGGGCTGGGTATGGTGACTCACGCCTGTAATCCTAGCACTTTCAGAGGCTGAAGCAAGCAGATCACCTGAGGTCAGGAGTTCGAAACCAGATTGGCCAACATGGTGAAACCGTCTCTACTAAAAATACAAAAACATTAGTTGGGCGTGGTGGCAGGTGCCTGTAGTCCCAGCTACTTGGGAGGCTGAGTCAGGAGAATCGCTTGAACCCGGGAGGCAGAGGTTGCAGTGAGCCGAGATTACGCCACTGCACTCCAGCCTGGTGACAGAGCAAGACTCTGTCCCAAAAAAAAAAAGAATATGGGCTCATCATCCAACCATCCAGCCATTGAAAGACAGTGTGTTGGTTCTCATGGCCCCAGACTGCCTTCTGTTGCAGACTTGTCCTGACAACCTAGCTTTCCTCACTGCAGAGCATGCAAACCTCTGCAATCCCCGTTTTCCTGTCTGCCACATCTCAGTTATTCATGTCAATTTTATTTCTGAAGATGTGGTGTGTGCAATGTTGTTCTGTGTAGCAGGTTTGGGAGAATGCTGTGGCTACATGTTACATGCAGATGCACTGACCAACTGATGGAGGTTAGAGTCACAACTCATGGTGCTGTGTGTGACCCTCCATCTCAGGGCAGGGTCATTCTTGGTGTCAACCATCCCTAGGCATTTATTTCCATATTTATATTTGCACTGGAAACTTAAAGAGGACAGTTCACCCCTGAAAGACGGAAGTGATAACTAGTAAAGTGAGAGATCCCAAGAGGATGTAAAACTCAGGATGGAGAGAGATTCTCTTTCCAGAGTTAAAGCTTGACATGTCTGAATTTCACCAAAGGAAATAGGCAAAATTATTTTATCGTGTATGTGCTTCTGAACTCCTCTATCACCTACTCACCTGTCCCAGGAAAACCTCTGTAAATAGGATGGCGTTATCAATGAACTCTAGCTTGTTTATTTTTTGTTTTGTCCTGCTATAGACAGACTCATCAGTAGAAAGAAAGAAAAGGTCATTTGCCTCTTAAATTTTAGTAAAGATAGCCAAGTCATTGTCTTCTGAGTTTGAGGCTGCTTTTCCTGTGAGATTGTTCATTCATTTATTTAATATGTATTTACTAATTCAGCATCTACTGTAAGGGATCCTGAGGTGCTGGGAATACCACGGGGAGCAAAACAAAACAAGAAGCCACCTACACAGCCTGGTGGAGGAGAGAAACTTTAATCAAATACACAGAAATACATTTAAAATCTCAACTGGGATAAGTGCCATAGTGCTACAGGTGCTTATATTAGAGACAAGGGACCTTTACCTAGTTGGGAGGGAGGAGGGTTTAAGGCTGCCCGCCCTCCTGCCCCACCAAGGGACAAATGAATTGAGACTGGAAGGATGAGGGGAGTTAATGTGGAGGGAGTAGGAAAAGTCATTCTGGGAAAAGGGAACAGCCTTTGTTTCAGAAGGGCAAGGCCATCGAGAAATTAAGCTGGAGTTGCCTGAAAGATGGAAAGGATAGTGGCTGATGTATCAAGATGAGGACGTGGCTCGACACTGGTCAGGGAGAGTTGGCGTTTCCAAGCCTGGGAGAAGGGATGAGTTCCAGGGCTGGTATGTGGATGGCAGGTGCCTGGATCTTGATGGAATACAATGCCCCAGAAGTGGCAGAACCTGTGGGTGGTGAAGGCTACATAATGGGATTGGGCCTGTGGACCATGAAAGTTTGCAGTAATGGACACTGTCTCCCTCTTCTTCCAACTGAAAGGATTAACTCACAATGGTCAATATGAAAGCACAAAAGAAATGGAATACACTTTCATGAGAAGAGGTATGTGTAGCAGCTTGGAACCTTGTCTTTGAAGTCAAAGCACTTAGATTCAAATCCCAGCTCTACTGTTACTGGTAAATTGCGTTCTTTTCCTACTCTGTCTCGGTTGCGAAGAAAGAACATCAACTGGAAAAAAAGGCAAGCGGGTTTCATTCCTCGCCAGGAATGGAGAAGGAGTAAACTTTCACGTTAAAGACCCCCATCTTCCAGAGCTTTGGGAAGCTGGGGAATTGTAAGGCATTAGATGTGGAGTGGGGAGGTGTGCAAGGGAACTCTAGATGCACAGGTGCATTTCATAAACATGCCTCTTCATACAATGCACTGTCAGAAAATGGCGGTGATTCTCTTCTGTGGGTCGGGAGTTGAGCATATAATGATGTATTAATGATCTAAAAATAACAAGGGGTGGCTGGTTCTGGTTTTCTCTGGTTCCTAGTAGGCCTTATCTTTCTCTGGTACTTGGCAAAGGGCAGTGAAGCTCCCGGGCCAACCGCAGTTCCTTTAAGCTAGGTTACCTATAGATAAAGAGACTAGGAAAACACAAACGAACAACGAAGAAACAAAACGGTTTAAGAAACAATGAGCCTAGTTCAACCATTGTGAAGACAGTGTGGCGATTCCTCAAGGATCTAGAACGAGAAATACCATTTGACCCAGCCATCCCATTACTGGGTATGCACCCAAAGGATTATAAATCATGCTGCTATAAAGACACATGAACACGTATGTTTACTGCAGCACTATTCACAATAGCAAAGATTTGGAACCAACCCAAATGTCCATCAATGACAGACTGGATTAAGAAAATGTGGCACATATACACCATGGAATACTATGCAGCCATAAAAAAGGATGAGTTCATGTCCTTTGTAGTGACATGGGTGCAGCTGGAAACCATCATTCTCAGCAAACTATCACAAGAACAGAAAACGAAACACTGCATGTTCTCAGTCATAGGTAGGAATTGAACAATGAGAACACTTGGACACAGGAAGGGGAACATCACACACTGGGGCCTGTTTTGGGGTAGAGGGGGAGGGATAGCATTAGGAGATATACCTAATGTAAATGACGAGTTAATGGGTGCAGCACACCAACATGGCACATGTATACATATGTAACAAACCTGCATGTTGTGCACGTGTACCCTAGAACTTAAAGTATAATAAAAAATAAATAAATAAAACAAAAAGAAAAAAAGAAAGAAACGAGCATTTTCAGCTGTCTACTGTTTAAGAAAACAATGAACTCTGTTTTACCCTCTGAGCGATTTCTCCAGGACTGCCCTAGTTAACACTACTATTCAACAGTTTTGTGCTTTGAGCAGTTATTTGACCTCCCTGGCTCTCAGTTTCCCCACCCATAAAGTGGGGACAACAGTACCTATTTCATCAGGTGGTGGGTATGATTTAAATTGGTTAATAATGTGAAGTTCTTAAAAGTGTCTGGCTCAGAGTAAGCACCATACACGTTAGGGGAAAAAAAAGCAGCGGGATGTGAGGCCCTCCCCAATTTCGTTACTCCATAAACCCCTAAGTTGCTGGTAACACCTGCAGGAGTGAGAGGGGCTTCAATATGGGCTGAATTTCCAGCCAAACTGTGGAAAGTGGCTGAGATTTTAGGTAGGCAGAAAATGTTAATGTAACATTTTTGGCCTCCAAGTTCTCAGACCACTTACTTCCCTTTCTAGTCCATTGACATGCCCGCAAGCAATTCCATTCTGCCAAGAGGTGCTGGTGGTAAGCCCAAATCCAAGAAAAGGAAAGACTCCGATTTTAAGGGAACGGGGACCTGCGGAGCCACTTGAGTCACCGGGGCTCTCAGCTCAGCAGTCAGAGCGCACTCATCACTGCGTTCGAGGTTAGGTGGGCTGGCCTGGGAACCAACTCACCATCATTTGAAATCGTTTCAGGGAAAATGACCCCAACACTTAAAATCCTCTGTCCTGAAGTTGTGTGATCCAGCTGTTTGCTGAAGGAGGAAGCAAAGCCGATAGTAACTCACTACATATTTGGGCAGTGGAATGAACCCTGGAAGGTGACAAAGACGAAGAAAGTCACCGCGCCTCTTCCGACCCGCCGCCCCCTACCCCTACTCCCACTCCCACCCCCACCCCCACCCCAAATAAAGCACAGACAATCCTTCAATTATAAAGACAACCCCGGCGCCCGGGTCTCCGGCAGGGGCCGCTGCAGCCGAGCAGAACGCTGAGCCGCTCCGCCCCGCGGCCTCCTCTCCAGCCGCCGCGCCCGCCTCCTGCAGGTGCGTCCTTGCCCGCGCCGGGCCCGGGTCTCCGAGGCCTCTCCGGCTCTGGCTCCAGCTACTGGGTCCCGACCGCGCATTGCTCTCCCGGGGTTGCGCGCACAGCCCAGGGCCGGCCGCGGGCTGGCGGGCGGAGGTAGCGCTGGTCCGCGGTGCGCATGCGCAGCCCGGCCTCTGCCCTGCGGTCCTGGGCTGGTGATTGGGTAGCGGTTGGAGGAGGGGATGTGGGGGATGGTGGGTGGGTACGGAGAGCTGGGAGGGAGGCACCCCGGGGGGCGGGGCGTGGGAGACTGTCTTCGGGGGCGCGAGCTGCCCCAGGTGAGCCGTGCCTCAGGTCGGGTGCGCGGTCAGGACAAAGCGCCTCTAGGAGAAAGCCTGGAAGGCGCGCTCCAGGGGGACCCCGAGCTCTTAGCGGGCCGGCAGCACGTGCGGGGCCCAAGGTCATCCGGGCTCTGCGTGGGGTCGTTGCGGCTGGAGATCAGGGAGGGGGCAGGAAACGGAGTTGGAAAGTAATCCCACCCGAGCGGGTGGGCCTGCGAGGCCGCTGTGCTGGGGAGCTCCACGAGGGCTCCGAACAGAGCCTCCCTTTTCGGAAAGGTCACCCTGGTCACTGCGGCAGCCAGGATGACCGAGGAAGGTGGCCGGGGTGGAGGCAGTGGGCGTGGAGAGGGGTGGGATTCCGGACGTAGTTTGAAGGTCGAGCCGTCGGGATCTGCTGAGCAGCTTGGCTATGGGGCGTACGAGAAGGGAAGGCTCAGGGCCTAGTCCCTGGGTCCGAGTAGCAGCCGGGAGGATGGTGCCCCAGTGCTTCGGGAGGAGGAGGCTTGGGGACGGCTCTGGAGCTCAGGCTTGCCCGCGTGGAGTGGAAGCTGCCTCTTGGACCCAGGGGGCGGGGAGGCCGCATGCAGTCTGGAGCGCTGGGAAGATGGGAGATCCAGAGAGGCAGGGCTGGAGGAGTAGGAGGAAAACCTGAAGGGGGTGGCGCCCGGAAACCCGGGAAAGTGATGAACTGGGTCAGAGGCCGGCTGTCAGCAGATAGGAGGGTGGAGACGACCTTGAGGAAAGCAGATGATGGAACGGGCGGGAGTGGGGTCCCCTAGTAGAGACACCTGGGACTGATGTATTGCATTTATTTAGCTCATAGGCGTTCAAAAAGTATTTATTCGGAGGCTGTACAACTTTTTGCAGTTCATTGCATTATACTTAGCATGTATTATGTTTTATATAAATATGTAAATATATATATATTTAATATTGACAAATTTATATATAGGGTACAATGTAGTGTTTTGATATACGTATACATTTGTAGAAAGATTAAATCAAGCTAATTGACATATCCATCACCTCACCTACTTATTTTTTGTGGTGAAAATCTACTCTCCTGGAAATATACAATACGTCATCAACCGTGGTCACGATGCTGTGCAGTAGATCGCTAAAACTTAGTCCTCTTATCTAACTAAAACTTTGTATCCTTTGACCAACATCCCTCCCTTCCCCATCTGCCCTCCCCCAGGCCCCTGGTAACCATCATTCTACTCTGCTTCTATGAGTTCAACTTTATTAGACCCCAAGTATATAAGTGAGATCATATGCTATTTGTCCTTCTCTGCCTGGCTAATTTTACTTGGCCTAATGCCCTCCAGGTTCATCCACGTTGTTGCAAATGACAGAATTGCCTTCTGTTTTAAGACTGTATAGTATTCCATTGTATATATGTGCCACATTTTCTTTATCCCGTCCTCAGTTGATAGATACTTAGTTGCTTCTGTATCTTGGTTATTGTGAATAATGCTGAAAAGAACACAGGAATGCAGATATCTCTTCAACATACTGATTTCAATTCCTTTGTATATATACCCAGAAGTAGGATTTCTGGGTCATATGGTAATTCTATTTTTAGATTTTTGAGGAGCCTCCATACTGTTTTCCAAAATGGCTGTACTAATTTACATTCCACCAACAGTGTACCAGGGTTCCCTTTTCTCCATGTTCTGGACAACACTTGTTGTCTTTCATCTTTTTTATAATAGCCATTCTAACACGCGTGAGGTGGTAGCTCAGTGTGATTTAACTTGCATTTCCCTGGTGATTAGCGATGTTGAGCATTTTTTCATGTATTTGTTGACCATTCATATGTCTTCTTTTGAGGAATACCTGTTCAGGTCCTTTGTCCATTTTTTAACTGGGTTATTCGTTTTGTTTTGCTATTGAGTTTCTTATATATTTTAGATATGAGCCCCTTATCAGATGCATGGTTTGCAAATATTTTCTCCCAGTCTGCGGATTGTCTCTTTACTCTGTTAATTATTTTCTTTGCTGTGCAGAGGCTTTTTAGTTTAATGCAATCCCACGTGTCTATTTTTGCTTTTGTTGCTTTTGGGGTCCTATCCAAGAAATGATTGCCCAAACTAATACGAAGTTTTCACCTATGTTGTCTTCTATTAGTTTTACAGTTTCAGGTCTTACGTTTGAGACTTTAATCTATTTTGAGTTGATTTTTGTATATGGTGTGAAATAAGGATTCAATTTTGTTATCCAGCATGTGGATATTCAGTTTTCCTGATACTATTTATTAAAGAGACTTTCCTTTCCCCATTGTGTGTTCTTAGCACCTTTGTCAAAAATCAATTGACTGTAAATACTTGGGCTTATTTCTGGGCTTTCTATCCTATTCCATTGGTTGATGTGCCCATTTTTATGCCAGTGCCATGCAGTTTTGATTACTATAGTCCTATAATATATTTTGAGATTAGGGAGTGTGATGTCTTTGGCTTTGTTCCTTTTGCTCAAGACTGCTTTGGCTATTTAGGGTCTTTTGCAATTCCATATGAACTTTAGGATTGTTTTTTCTATTTCTGTGAAAAATATGGGAATTTTGCTAGAGATTACATTGAATCTGTAGATTGCTTTGGGTAGTATGGACATTTTAACAACCATTAATTTTTCTAATCCATGAACATGGGATACCTTTAAGTTTATTTGTGTCTCTTTTCTCACATCAATGTTTTATGGTTTTCAGTGTACAGGTCTTATACCTCTTTGGTTAAATTTACCTAAAGTTTTTTTTTTAATGCTATTATAAATGAAATTGTTTTATTATTTTCTTTTTCATAGAGTTTGTTGTTAGTGTATAGAAACACCACTGATTTTTATATGTTGATTTTGTATCCTGCAACTTCCCTGAATTTGTTTATTAGTTCTAACAGTTTTTTTTGGTTGGATCTTTAGGGTATTCTGTATATAAAATCATATTATCATCAAACAGGGATCATGCTGATAACATGGTCTTATATATAGAAATCTCATATATCTTATACATCTATGTCTCTGTATATTATATATTTTATATATCTCTATATATCTCTCTGTATATCTTATATACATCTTATATATCTATATTTTATACAGATAACTATCTTATATGTAGAAAACTTATATATAGAAAAATTCTTCCCTTCCTATTTGGGTGACTCTTACTTCCTTTCCTTGCATAATTGCTCTGGCTAGGACATCTAGTACTACACTGAATAGACATTGTGAGAGTGAACATCATTGTCTTGTTCCTGATCTTAGAGGAAAAGCATTCAACTTTTTACTGTTGAGTATGATTTAGCTGTGAGTTTGTCATATTTGGTCTTACTGTGTCACAGTACTTTCTTTCTGCACTTATTTTATTGAGAGTTTTTATTATGAAAGGATGTTGAATTTTGTCACATGCTTTTACTGCATCTGTTGAGGTGATGATACAGTTTTTGTCCTCCATTTTGTTAATATGGTATATCTCGTTAATTGATTTGTGTATGTTGAGCCATCTTTGGATTCCAGGGATAAATCTCACTTAATCATGATGAATGATGCTTTTAATGTGTCAGTGAATTCAGTTTGTTAGTATTTTGTTGAGGATTTTTCGTCTGTGTTCATCTGAGATGTTGGTCTGTAGTTTTTCTTCTTGTAACGTCCTTGGTATCAGGGTAATACTGGCCTCCTAAAATGAGTTTAGAAGTATTTCCTTCTCTTTAGTTTTTTAGAAAAGTTTGAAAAGAATTGGTATTAGTTCTTCTTTAAATATTTGGTAGAATTCAGGTCATCAGTGAAGCCGTCAGGTCCTGAGTTTTCTGTAAATTTTTTTCTCTCAAATTTCTGATATAATATTTCACTTCTGTCTTTTAGAATTGGTAGGGTGTCCCCCTTTTTCACAGAGAACATACAGGCTTTTAAAAAAAATCTGTTAGGCGAGTTGCAGATTTCATGAAAAGGCATCCTTAAATGACATTACTTGGATTAATGTCAGTTTATAAGAACCTGCCTAGCACCCAGAAAGCTCCCAATGACTGATCAATGAGTTTATTTCCTCCCCTAAGGCCTCTTTTCCCACCTGGAAGATAAAATCAAGGCAGGAGTCTTCACCCAGGGTAGTTTTCACCCCTGAGGCTAGTGGGCTGGATAACCTGAGTCCCCTCTCCTCTAACTCTTACAGTGATGCCCTGGCACCCTTCTGACATTGCTTCTAAATTTGAACAGGGTTGTAACCTTGTGGAAACTAGAACCACTGCCTGCCCTGACCCCCTAGAAAAGCAGATACATGTTGGCACAAAGGATGTTTTCAATAAAGACTTTGTAGTAGTATCTTAAAAGACTATTTAGTAGCAAATACTAAAATGTATTTAGACTTTTAGTCTAGTCTTAAAATACTTTGTAGTCACAAATAAAGACTAAGAAAATAGTTTTATGTTATGAACATTTATGATCTTGGGAATAATTCCAGGCATCATTGTTCTTAATTTCTTTTAAATTCTTAATGACTTACAATCCTATCTTCATGCCTGATAAAAAATATGACAGTTTATTCAGTAGTTTTTTAAAATTCTTTTACAGTAAGTGGAAATGTTTTCTAATATTTAAAATAAAAAAACCTACAGAAGAAGAAAATAATTTTCTGGATCAAATTAGAAGTCTGTATTATATTGTTATCTCCAGATTCAAATATATTAGAAAGCAGCAGTGGAGACAACCATATTCATCTTTGGGAGAAATAATTAAAGATATGTATTAAGCTCAAGATGATAGCCTAAGTAACTTCACACAGCGTATAAGAAGCTTTTAGTTACGGTTAGGCAGTACTCAGAGTTTTAATCTTCACACTTTTCAAGACATGCAAGTTTAATAATTGTCATCTGTAACGATATTTTTAAAACTTCATGCCCCTAATTACTGAAGCTGGGTGATGAGAATATAAGGGTTCCCTATACTACACTGTTTATTTTTGTATATATTTAAGTTTTTCCAGATTTTAACAAAAACCCCACAAACTATAGTAACACCTCATTTGTTCCTTACTGAGTTTTCCAGGTAAATTGAAGTTTGTTAAAAGTTTATCGTGCCCATGCTAGTTGAAGGTCATGGCAATCCATTTTCCCCAAGCTTTTTTTAAATCAAGCACTGGGGTGATATTCATGTTGGTTGGATGTCACCATTGTCACTGAGTCTCGGAGCTGCTCACCAGAGTAGCTGCTGGGGCCCATGAGTCTGTTCACTTCCCTCTAGCAGCCAGTCTGCCTGCCTTCCCTGCAGAAATGACTTTAGGCAGCCAGACAGCCCTGTCCCCTGAGGTTGTTCTGGAGACACTACACCATGTTTCTCTAACCTGTTCTCTTTTCAGTGTCAATCTTCTTCTGCAGTCTTTTTGATTGCAGAAGAGACAGGATACATTGAAAACGTGTTGACTTGCTTGCTTATTTGCAGGTGAGATTTATCATATTACTCCTTAGACACTATAAAATTCACCCTTTTTATTATACAATTCTATGAGTGTTGAAAAAAATCACAAAAATATAGTAGAATTTTCCATTGCTCTAAAAATTTCTCTGCTCCCCTTCACTCCCCGACCCCTGTCCCTGGAAACCACTGATGTGATTTCTGTACCAACAGTTTTGCCTTTTCAAAATGTCTTACAAATGGTCTCAGAACTATGTAGCCTTTTATATCTGGCTTCTTTCACTTAGCATAATGCTTTTCTCTCTCTCTCTTTCCCTCTCCCTCTGTTTCTTCCTCTCTTTTTCTCTTTCTCTGTTTCTCCCTCACTCTTGCTTCTTGCTCTGGCCTTCTCTCCTTTCTTTGAAAGGGTCTCACTCACCCAGGTAGGGAGTACAGTGGCACGATCATGGCTCACTGCAGCCTCAAACCTTCTGGGCTCAAGTGATCCTCCTACCTCAGCCTCATGAGTAGCTGGGACCATAGACATGCACTGCCATGCTGGCTACTCTTTTGTTGAGACAGGGTCTCACTTTGTTGCCCAGGCTGGTCTCGAACTCTGGGCTCAAGTGATCCTCCTGCCTGAACCTCCCAAAGTCCTGGAACTACAGGTGTGAGCCACCATGGCTGGCCCTTTTTTTTCTTGTTGTTAAGCAATTTTATTTTGAAATAATTTTAGGCTTACAGAAATGTTGCAAAAATGGTACACAGAGTTCTCATATACCATTTACCCAATTTCCTCTAATGTCCACATCTTACCTAACTAGAGTGTAATGATCTAAACCAGGACAAGTATTACACCTAGACATTTACATATACAGTACTAGTAACTGATTTACAGGCTTCATTCAAATTTCGCCATTTGTCCTACAAATGTCCCTTTTCAGATCTTGAATCCAACTGAGGATCCCATGTAGCATTTACTTGTCATGTCTCATTAGGACTTGGGAGAGTTCTCCAGTTCTTATCTTTCAAAACTTCGATACTTTTCTGAAGAGTATTGGCCAGTTTTGCTGTAGAGTGTGTAGAACGTCCCTCAGCTTGAGTTTGGTGTTTTCTTATAACTAAATTGCAGTCATGAATGCCACACAGGTGATGCTTTGCCCTTCTCATTGCATCATATGAGGAGGTAGGTGGAGTCGCCATGTCTTATTACTGGTGATGTTAACTTTGATCACTTGGTTAAGGTGGTAGCTGCCAGGTTTCCTACTATAGAGTTATTATTGCATAACACTTTTAAAGATTCATTCATGCTGTTGAATGTATTAGCAGTTTGTTCTTATGGCTGAAGAGTCTTCATGGCATGGATAAACCACACTTTGTTTACCCATTTATAAATTTGATGGACATTTGGTTTGCTTCTAGTCTTGGGCCTGGCACTGTCTGATAGGCCTTGGTGTTCTATTGAACATAAACCATGTCACAGAGCATCAGTATCAGACAGGGCCACTCTGACCACGATGGGCCAAGACAAGAAAGAACAAGGCCACTCAGTAATCCCGTCAGAGCGGGCAGAAACTAGAACACTGTTGAAACCACAAAAATGACAAAACATCCTCCCATGCCGCTAACGTGAGGGACTCCTGCTTCTTGGCCACTCACAGCTTTAGCCTCACTTCATTCCTTCCACCTTTTAGATGAGATCCATTACAGCATCCAATCCAGAACAAAGCCCCACTTCCGTGAACCTCTCCCCAACATGATCCAACACAAGCCCAAATCCTCTGATCAATCCATTCCAGGTTCCTAACAGATGCTGCAGTACTTCATGGCGTGTTCTGTCTCTTGCAACTTGCTCGAGAGTACAAGTGTGTTCCTTGGACTGGAAGGCATTGACAATCCAAACAATATATAAACACGTATATTGAAAATCCTTGCTCAGTTCTAATCTCCTTACATAGCGTTTCCCACCCTGTACTCAATTCTTTTTACTAATTTTTTGTGAATTCTTTTTTTTTTAAACAGCAAATGCAAGAAAGTTAAAGTATATTCTTTTTTTTTTTTTTTTTACAAAAGTTTCTTCTTAAATGTACAACAGCCCGAAGACAACACTTAATTCCAGCTATAGGTGGCAAACGATGTTATGGCAGGGAATACAGATGTTTAAATACGGATGCAATAAAGGGTCACCATCTCCTCAGGCACAAGGAACAGCTTACTTTTTGCCAGATTTCTTAATTCCACCTGTGGCCAAGGGCCCCTTCCCCACGGCCTTTGCTTTGAGCTCCTCGACTTTCTTCTGCTCCTCTTTTTGCTTCTGCTTGAAAGCCTTATCTTCCTCGTCCATCTCCTTGGCCTGCTTGTTGGGCTGTTTCAGTGGCTTCTTCATGCCACCTTCATGGCCGGACATGGCGCCTGCTGCCCCTTCCCCAGACCCTACCACCGGAGTTGAGGTATATTCTTTTATCCCCTTGCCTTTCTCTTACAAAATACAATTGTGGTAAAACACGTGTAACACAATGTAGCATTCTAACCATTATTAAGGGTACAGTTCAGTACAACCACATTGTTGTGCAGCTCATCCCCTGAACTCATTTCCTAAAACTGAAGCGCTACACTCATTATTTTTAAGTAAAATTTGTGTCTAGTAAAATTAACCCTTTGTTAGTATTGAGTTCTATGTTTTGACAGATACAATCATGTAACTAACACCGTAATCAAGATATATAACAATACCATTGCCTCCCACCAAAAAAAAAAAAAATTCCAGCATGCCACTTTTTATTCACTCCTCCCCTTTCTGCCAACCACTGTTATGTTTTCTGCCCCCACAGTTTTGTTGGCTAATCAGTGTCATTGTTCCAAATGTTGTGTTTCTCTGTGTTTGTTTTCCTTTTATAACATTCCTCAGGTATAGACAAAGATTTACTGAATGTGCCTTAAGATCCACGAGTTTCTTTGACACAGTGTCATCTTAATACTATTGTCACCGTACACTTCTTCCCTTCAGAGTTTAGTTCTCAGTTAGAAATTACATTCTCATAGAAACTGTACTTTGGGCTGGGTGCGGTGGCTCATGCTTGTAATCCCAGCACTTTGGGAGGCCTAGGTGGGTGTATGGCTTGAGCTCAGGAGATGAAGACCGGCCTGGCCAACATGGTGAAACCCTGTCTCTACCAAAAATACAAAAATTAGCCGGGCGTGGTGGCGGGTGCCTGTTGTCCCAGCTACTGGGGAGGTTGGGGTGGAAGGATCACTGGAGCCCAGGAAGTCAAGGCTGTGGTGGGCCGTGATCACGCCACTGCACACCACTGCACTCCAGCCTGGGTGACGGAGCGAGACCCTGTCTGAAATAAAAGAAAGAAACTGTACTTTGACCACAAGTTGAGAGACTAGTGGTGGTTTTCATACTTTTTTTTTTTTTTTTTGAGATGGAGTTTTCACTCTTGTTGCCCACGCTGAAGTGCAATGGTACAATCTCAGCTCACTGCAACCTCTGCCTCTGGGGTTCAAGCAGTTCTCCTGCCTCAGTTTCCCGAGTAGCAGGGATTACAGGCATGCACCACCACTCTCAGCTAATATTTTGTATTTAGTAGAGACAAGGTTTCACCATGTTGGTCAGGCTGGTCTCTAACTCCTGACCTCAGGTGATCCACCCACCTCGGCCTCCCAAAGTGGTGGGATTATAGGCGTGAGCCACTGCACCTGGCTTCATACCTTTTGAAAAGCAGCAAGTTTTCAAATGAATTCTCACATCTAACCCTTTCTCGTGCATTTTAGTGGTCCTCAAACTTGAGTAGTTACTAGAATCACCTGGAAATAGATGATGGGGTCCACCCCCAGAGTTTCTGATTCAGTAGATCTGAGGCTGAGGAACCAGAGGCTGCATTTCTAACAAGATTTCAGGTGATGGCGACGCTGCTAGTCTAGGGAACATACTTTGAGAAGCACTGCTCCAAGGCACCTCTGTACTTCTAGGAACACTTGAGAATACAAATGGAAAACAGCCAGTTTAGAGGATGATCTGTTACTAAAGATTTTTTAAAGGACGTTCGTGTATGTGTGCATGTGTGTATAATATAATATACATGATGTGTTTCTATAATATAGAAAATATATATATTTATAAATATTTCCATATATAAAACTATTTGCTGATTGCTTCTACAATATTTTTTTTTGTGATTTTTCTAAAGGCCACCTCAAGCATTAGAACTACCAACAAACAACCCTGATGCGACCTCTCCAGATTGTCCCAAGTCGATTGATTTCCCAGCTATATTGTGGCCTGAAGCCTCCAGCCTCCACACGAAACCAGATTTGCCTGAAAATGGCTCGGCCAAGTTCAAGTAAGTCATTCTTACCCATTGCCTCACCTGCAGCCAAATGTGAAGTACCTGAAAGTCCTACACTTTGAGGGGGATGTCTCTATCAAATTAGGTATTGGACAAGGTTTTGGAGAAAGCCACTCTGTCCTCTTCTCTTTTTTTTTTTTTTTTTTTGACACAGAGTCTTGCTCTGTCGTCAGGCTGGAGTGCAGTGGCGCGATCTCGGCTCACTGCAACCTCCGCCTCCTGGGTTCAAGCGATTCTCTTGCCTCAACCTCCCGAGTAGCTGGGTCTACAGGCGCGTGCCACCACACCCAGCTAATTTTTGTATTTTTAGTAGAAACGGGGTTTCACCATGTTGGCCAGGATGGGCTCGATCTCTTGACCTCGTAATCTGCCTGCCTCGGCCTCCCAAAGTGCTGGGATTACAGTCATGAGCCACCGCGCTCGGCCTGTCCTCTTCCCTTTTAGGTAACCCCTTCTGTGGCACCTTAAGAGCCCATATCCTTATACTCAAGTCCATCTAGGACATTTTGTTGCTTCTGCCAGAATATTTGCATTTAAGCTTTTTACACATGTTTTGTACTTTAAAATCCTTATCTCTCTGCAGGGGAGGAAAACTGGTATTGTCCTACAGGGCAGTATGAGGTTAAATTTTCTCCTGGACAGAAATACTTTGTAGCTCTATGTGGCAAAAACCTACAGATTAACCTATCTGGGCCCTTAGTCTATAGTGAATATAAATTCTAACAAGTGTTTATAATTCAGTGACTCTTAGGTGGGCCTGTGTAACAGTGCTTCAGAATGAAACTGAAAGGCCAAGCTGAATTCTTTTTGCTTCATTTTCAACTTTTGGATAATTCTTCTGTTCAGGAATAATAACTCCTGCTTCCATTTTGCCCCAGGAATGGAAAGGAACCCAAAGAACCCAGTTCCACTCAACTGTGCCACCCCTTGGTGTTCCCAGCGTGCAGAGCAGGCTGCTAGAGTCTGTGGCGGGATTCAGAAGTGTGTGCCTGACCTTGGTTAAAAGTGGGCCGCTGACGTTGGAACCACAAAACATGCTGGCGTGTTTTCCTTTAACCATTGGGAAATGTCTGTCTTTCTTTTTTTTTTTTTTTTGGAGATGGAGTCTTGCTGTGCTGCTCAGGCTGGGGTGCAGTGGCACGTTCTTGGCTCACTGCAACCTCCATATCCTAGATTCAAGCGATTCTCCTGCCTGAGCCTCCAGAGTAGCTGGGATTACAGGTGCCCACCACCATGCCAGGCTAATTTTTGTATCTTTAGCAGAGATGGGGTTTCACCATGTTGGCAAAGCTGGTCTCAGGTGATCTGCCCACCTCAGCCTCCCAAAGTGCTGGGATTAGAGGCATGAGCCACCATGCCTGGCCTTTTTTTTTTCTTTTTTAAGATTTCACACCACATTAACATTACTATGTTTTACATCCTGTTTCCTAAAAACCAAATATACATTGACTTTTTAAATATGTTTCTAAAAGTTGCTTTAAGGAGTACCTTAATAGAAGTCACTCTGATCTAGAAATATATTCATCAGGAGGATGACAGTTTCCATTTGGGATAGGAAAGACCTTTGGAGCTGGAGGGAGTTTTAGGGGTAGACTCTGAAGTCCTTAAGGATGTTCATATGGGTTGAGCCCAGGATTCATACAGATAGTTCCTAGAAAACTATGTGCACGCTTTTTATTAAGCATCTTGTTCTTTCAAGAAATTACATCAGGTTAGAAACTGGAATCCACCCAGATCATGTTTGTAATTTTTCCAAATGCTTCCTGTTTGGAGAACGTTAGTCTGCCTGCAGTAGGCCTTATCTATCTGCTGATAGAGAGCAGCCTATCTCTGGAAGGGATGTGAGTTCAGGCAGAGCTTTAGTGTGATTGGGGGTGTAGTTGGGTTGGGTGCACCTCACAAGAATGGCGTGTTGTGACTGCCTTTTGTTATTCCTTTTTTTTTTTTTTTAACTTTTTTATTATTTATTTTTTATTATAATTTAAGTTCTAGGGTACATGTGTACAACGTGCAGATTTGTTACATAGGTATACAAGTGCCATGTTGGTTTGCTGCACCCATCAACTTGTCATTTACATTAGGTATTTCTCCTAATGCTATCCCTCCCCAATCCCACCACCCCCAGGCAGGCCCCAGTGTGTGATGTTACCCACCCTGTGTCCATGTGTTCTCATTGTTCAATTCCCACTTATGAGTGAGAACATGTGGTGTTTGGTTTTCTGTCCTTGTGATAATTTGCTGAGAATGATGGTTTCCAGCTTCATCCATGTCTCTGTAAAGGACACGAACTCATCCTTTTTTATGGCTGCGTAGTATTCCAGGTGTATATGTACCACATTTTCTTAATCCAGTCTGTCACTGATGGACATTTGGGTTGGTTCCAAGTCTTTGCTATTGTGACTAGTGCCACAATAAACATACATGTGTATGTGTCTTTATAGTAGCATGATTTATAATCCTTTGGGTATATACCCAGTAATGGGATGGCTGGGTCAAATGATATTTCTCGTTCTAGATCCTTGAGGAATCGCCACACTGTCTTCCACAATGGTTGAACTAGTTTACAGTCCCACCAACAGTATAAAAGCATTCCTATTTCTCCACATCCTCTCCAGCATCTGTTGTTTCCTGACTTTTTAATGATCGCCGTTCTAACTGGTGTGAGATGGCATCTCATTGTGGTTTTGATTTGCCTTTCTCTGATGACCAGTGATGATGAGCATTTTTTCATGTGTCTGTTGGCTGCATAAATGTCTTCTTTTGAGAAGTGTCTGTTCATATCCTTTGCCTACTTTTAGATGGGGTGTTTTTTTCTTGTATATTTGGTTAAGTTCTCTGTAGATTCTGGATATTAGCGCTTTGTCAGATGGGTAGATTGCAAAAATTTCCTCCCATTCTGTAGGTTGCCTGTTCACTCTGATGGTAGTTTCTTTTGCTGTGCAGAAGCTCTTTAGTTTAATTCGATCCCATTTGTTTATTTTTGGCTTTTGTTGCCATTGCTTTTGGTGTTTTAGTCATGAAGTCTTTGCCCATGCCTATGTCCTGAATGGTACTGCCTAGGTTTTCTTCTAGGATTTTTATGGTTTTAGGTCTAACATTTAAGTCTTTACTTCATCTTGAGTTAATTTTTGTATAAGGTGTAAGGAAGGGACCCAGTTTCAACTTTCTACATATGGCTAGCCGGTTTTCCCAGCACCCTTTATTAAATAGGGAATCTTTTCCCCCTTGCTTGTTTTTGTCAGGTTTATCAAAGATCAGATGTTTGTAGATGGGTGGTGTTATTTCTGAGGACTCTGTTCTGTTCCATTGTGACCGTCTTAATTTCTCTCAGCGTTGTGCTGCCAAAACATGAATAGAGCCAGAGAGGAAAAAGCCTACTCTTCTTCTGAGTTTATTTTTATCAGGAGTCCATGGCAGGGAAGAGAGGAAAGGAAGGGGAGGAGGGGTTGAGCCTTTATTGATAGTCTCTATCCTAGACTGGGCGTAGTGTGTGGCTCTGGGCTTATGAGGATGAGGAAGTCCCTTCCCTGCTTAGAGAGAGTCAGCCATACATGAGAAGCCAGTAGGATGCTCCTTACAGCTGGGATACAAAATGAGGCCACATTCCCTTTAATATTCAAGCTCACTATCTCTGAGCCCCCATCTCACTATGTTTCTTCCTTGCCTGCTTCCTGCCTGTCCCCGGTTCCATCTCTCAGGGGAGGGTTAGCCTCCCCTCATTCATTCCATCCAAGGGTTAGCCTTGGTTGCCATTCCTTCAAGAGAGGAAGGTCAGGAAGCTTGCTTAGTGAGCTGAGGAATTCAGTTCCACATTTGCTGGAATCCTTAGTGCTTTAATACAGGTTGGTCATCCTTGAAAGATCTCCATATCCAGGGTGGGGCATTCCTGGCTTCATTCAGTGTCTTAGGCCTGCAGTGGGCAGTGAGGTGCAGCATTTGCTTCTCCAGGGGGAGGGCAGAAAAGGGGCTCTCTCTTCTCCTCCTGGCAGACTATGTTCAGTGTTATACCCCTTAATTCTGGCTTTCCAGGGCCACGCTGCTGACCTTACGAGGGCCTGCAGAGCTGTAGCGCCTAGGAGAGAAGGGGAGACAAGCTGTGTCCCCAGCCGACCTCCCTTTCCCAGTTTCTGCTGCCCAGGAGACCCCATCATGAGTTCCAAGTCTGGCTCCTGCTTGTTGTCCTAGGATGAGGACATTTGTTTCAGGGGAAAAACTCCTACCTTGTGATCCATGTAAAGTGCTTGGCATAGCACTTGGGGTGCAGGGAGCCCTCACCACCATAGCTGCTGTCCCTGTGGGTCTATGTTCAGGCAGGAGAACTGCCTGGAATTGCAGGACGGGAGGGCGAGCCATGGTCTGTGTCCACAATTACTTTGTCTCGTGTTATTCTCTGTCTTCAGTTCCCTTTGCTACCCCAAGTCTCTGGCAGTGTCCTGTTGAAAAGTTTGGCTCTTATTTGAGTTGTCAAGGAGAAGGCCATGTGTCCTTGCCCTCACCTTCAGTCGCTGTGCTGAGGGAAGCTGAAATTAGCACGATCCACAAAGGGAAGGTGAACTTGGGGAGGAAGGGTAGGCTTTGGGGTCCAGTGGGCCTCAACTCAGCACTCACACAAACATACAGGCTTGTTTTTACTTTTGTGAAGGAAGATGGATTCCTTCGCACTAGGCTTTTTTAATCTTCGTAATATGCCTGCTCTAGGAAAGGCATTACTGTGCACCTCAAAGAGCCAAGGAAAGTGAGGACAGAGAAAGGTACATAATGTGCATAAGATCATACATTTGGTTGGGAGGCATAGCTGCGGTGCAGAGCCAGCTGTGTGTGCCCAAAGCCCCTACTTCTTTAAAACACTGTACACTCACCCAGCAGGTCACATGGGATGGTGTTTTCATGGTACAGGAAAGATGTTTGTTTATCTTAAAGTATAACTTCACACTGGGTCAAGTTTCAAGATACAGACAATTGATATGGGATACAAATGTCCAAATGGTACACCGGATTGATAAAGATTTTACTCTGTTTAGGTATGGCAGATTTTCGGAAGTGTTTTGCAAAAGCAAAGCACATAGTCATCATCTCAGGCGCAGGTGTTAGTGCGGAAAGTGGTGTTCCGACTTTCAGAGGAGCTGGAGGTTACTGGAGAAAATGGCAAGCCCAGGTTTGTAATGTTTCCAGAACATGAAAAGCTTCTGTCGAATGAAACCGTAACAGAGTTTAACTCAAATCCTGTTCCTATCCCTGAAACCCCGGGGAAATGTTTTTAAGTTAACTGTGACCCTATTGTCTCATTGATTTTTGGCATAAACACAAATTTCCTATGATTAAGTTCAAAATTTAAGCAAGGCTGCCACTTTCCTTTCTAGATATGTATGGATTGCATTTATTCAGATAACAGTTTCTCCTAATAATTGTGTTAAAGTTAAATCAGAAAACTTTCGTTAGCATCATTCATTACTTTTCTAAAGTTATTGAACTTAAGTATGACACAGAGTTTCTGTGAACTTTTCATGTTAAAACTAATGTTGATTATTGAAGGGTTAGGATTTGATATTCAAAAATTTATAGGAAAGCCTTCAGAATGTAAGTTCTGTGAAGGTGCGGATTTTTTAAATTCAATTTTTATTGAGATCTAATTTACATAAAGTAAAAGTCACCAGTTTTAAGTGTACAATTTAATGAGTTTTAACAAATGGACATAGTTGTATAGCCAGCACCATAATCACAGTGTAGAACATTTCTGTCCCTCTAGAATATTCCTTCATGGCCCTTTGCAGTCTGTGCTCTCCCGTCCCACTGGCTCAGGAAATCCCTAGCTTTGGAAGACAAGGAATTGTTTGTTTGTTTGTTTGTTTGTTTGAGACGGAGTTTTGCTCTTGCTGCCCGGCTGGAGTACAGTGGCGTGATATCAGCTCACTGCAACCACCACCTCCCAGGTTCAAGCGATTCTCCTGCCTCAGCCTCCCGAGTAGCTGGGATTACAGGCATGCACCGCCATACCCAGCTAATTTTTGTATTTTTTAATAGAGACGGGGTTTTACCATGTTGGTCAGGCTGGTCTCAAACTCCTGACCTCAGGTGATCCACCCATCTTGGCCTCCCAAAATGCTGGGATTACAGGCATGAGCCACCATGCCCGGCCTCTGTTTGTTTTATTCATTGCACTGTCTCCAGCTCCCAGAACTCTGGCACATTATCAGTGCTTAATGGATTTTCATTGGCTGAACAAAAGCAGTCATAAATAAGTACTGCAATACATGTCTTCCATGGTTAGTAGCTCATTTCTCATTGAACGCAGAGGTCATGAACCTGCCCCCTCCTTCTTCTCCTGAACATCTGAGCCTGGCAGATGTTTGGGTGCTCTGCCTCCTGCCTGCTGCCCTCTGGGTGAAGGGTGGGGGTCATCACCTTAAAGGTGAAGTGGAGGAAAAAGGAGAGCAGAGAACATTAGGGGCCAGGAAGAAAGAGGGGCCACAGGGCATTCCCTGGATTAGCAGCAGCAGAGGGTGGGAGGTCAGAAGGTGTGGGAGGAGCTTGGAGGAGGGGCGCTTAGTTGTGTCCAAAAAGGCTCAGAGTTTGTGGACAAAGCAAAGAAGTCGATAGAATGCATTTGACTCCAGTACCCTCCCAGGGACACCTGTGGACATGTTGCTGTGCCGCCTATAAACTGTTCCAGGCCGTGTGTTCTAGGTGGAGAGCAGGGTCGGTGTGGGCCAACCCCTCATTTGGCAAAGACTGAGATTGCCACCAAGCAGAGGGGCCTTTACAGTAGAATGAAACGCACATGTGTTCAATGTAGGAAGCGTCTCCTTGATAGAGAAGCCATACTTCTTTTTAAAATTAATGTTATTGAGGCAGAATTTCCTTAGAATAAAATGCACCCACGTGCATTGTGTGTACAGGTTGATGAGTTTTGACAGGTGCATGCACCTGCATAACACCCCCACCTCCACTGTCAAGAAACAGAATTTCAATGATCGCTGAAAGTTCCCTGTGCCTTTCCCTGCCAGCTTCCGGCCCCAGACAACCCCTACTCGGCTCCTTTACCAGAAAGGAGGTTTGTTTCTCCCAGAATCATATTTAAAGTATATGTATTTTATCTATTCTGTTTATATATAATATACACTTTTTATATGTAGCCGTGTATGTGTTTAGCTGTGTGTGTAGTTGCATGTATGTGTGTAGCTGTGTATGTATGATGTGTGTATTTCTGTGTGTGTAGGTGTGTGTGGTTTTGTGTGTAGGTGTGTGTATGTAGATGTGTATAATTGTGTATGTTTAGTTGTGTGCATATTAACAGATACGTGTGGTTGTATATGTGTATAGTTGTGTGTATGTTGTGTAATTGTATGTTGTGTGTGTGCAGTTGTGTGTATGTAGATGTGTGTAGCTGTGTATGTAGATGTGTGTGTATGTTTAGTTGTGTGTGTAGTTGTGTATGTAGTTGTGTGTATGTTTGGTTGTGTGTATAGTTGTGTATGTAGTTGTGTGTATGTTTAGTTGTGTGTATAGTTGTGTATGTAGTTGTGTGTATGTTTAGTTGTGTGTGTGTATAGTGTGTATGTAGATGTGTGTAGTTGCGTGTATATGTTTAGTTGTGTGTATGTGTGTAGTGTGTGTATGTTTAGCTGTGTGTGTAGTGTGTGTGTGCAGTTGTGTATGTAGATGTGTGTAGTTTGTGTAGTAGTGTATGTGTGTTTAGCTGTGTGTGTACAGTTTATATGTAGATGTGTGTAGTTGTGTGTGTTTAGTTTGTGTGTGTAGTTATGTGTGTGTATAGTTGTGTGGATGTAGATGTGTGTAGTTGTGTGTGTATCTTTAGTGTGTGTGTAGTTATATGTATGTAGTTGTGTGTATGTAGATGTATGTAGTCCTGTGTATGTCTAGTTGTATGTGTGTGCAGTTGTGTGTCAATGTGTGTAGTGTGTATGTCGAGTTGTGTGTGTGGTTGTGTGTATGTGTTTAGTTGTATATGTGTAGATGTGTATGGATGTAGATGTGTGTAGTCATGTGTATGTCTAGTTGTGTGTATGTGTGTGCAGTTGTGTGTGTGTCGACGTGTGTAGTGTGTATATATGTTGAGTTTGTGTGGTTGTGTGTATGTGTTTATTTGTATGTGTGTAGATGTATGTGGATGTAGATGTGTGTAGTCGTGTGTATGTCTAGTTGTGTGTATGTGTGTGCAGTTGTGTGTGTCGTGTGTAGTGTGTATGTATGTTGTGTGTGTGGTTGTGTGTATGTGTTTATTTGTATGTGTGTAGATGTGTGTGGATGTAGATGTGTGTAGTCGTGTGTATGTCTAGTTGTGTGTATGTGTGTGCAGTTGTGTGTCAATGTGTGTAGTGTGTATGTTGAGTTGTGTGTGGTTGTATGTGTTTATTTGTATGTGTGTAGATGTGTGTGGATGTAGATGTGTGTAGTCGTGTGTATGTCTAGTTATGTGTATGTGTGTGCAGTTGTGTGTGTGTCAGTGTGTAGTGTGTATGTATGTTGAGTTGTGTGTGTGGTTGTATGTGTTCAGTTGTATGTGTATAGATGTGTGTGGTTGTGTGTGTTGTATGTGTGTAGATGTGTGTGGATGTAGATGTGTATAGTCGTGTGTATGTCTAGTTATATGTATGTGTGTGCAGTTGTGTGTGTGTCGATGTGTATAGTGTGTATGTATGTTGAGTTGTGTGTATGTGTTTAGTTGTATGTGTGTAGATGTGTGTGGATGTAGATGTGTGTAGTTGTATGTGTGTGTGTATAGCCATAGCTATAGTTATCAAAACTGAGTTTCTTAACCATGGTCATTAGACTTCAATGGGCATTTCGCATTTCATGTTTTCCCTGGGTGTAGGTCAAAATGAGATCCACTTCATATGTTTTAGGGCTCCATGAAAAAGGGGATTCGACCCAAAATACCTTCCTGCATATTATTTTACTTCATCTTCACAGCTTACTTGGGAGATAAATGGGACAGGTTGCATCGTCCCTGCTTTGTCACTAAGGAAATTGACTGATTTCTCCAAGACCCCTGGGCAGTCCCAGGATGGGGACGTAGGCTGGTACCCAGGCCCTGCCTGGCATCTGCCATGTTGTTTGAACCTAGTGCTGCCATCTCCAGCCTGCACCCTCCTGACGCTGCCTATCTCTGCCTTAGGGAGGAAGGGCCTGTGCCCCAGAGTTCAGCATCCTGGCTGCCCCTGCCTCCCTCACTCCCGCCTCCTCTCCCACCCCCAGGACCTGGCGACTCCCCTGGCCTTTGCCCACAACCCGTCCCGGGTGTGGGAGTTCTACCACTACCGGCGGGAGGTCATGGGGAGCAAGGAGCCCAACGCCGGGCACCGCGCCATAGCCGAGTGTGAGACCCGGCTGGGTAAGCAGGGCCGGCGAGTCGTGGTCATCACCCAGAACATCGATGAGTTGCACCGCAAGGCTGGCACCAAGAACCTTCTGGAGATCCATGGTGAGAGACCCCCAGCCTCACGTTCAGGGAACCAACTTTAAAACACCTGTCCTGCCATTTCAGCATCACCCCTGGTGCCTTCCCTCCCTCCCTGGTGGACACCTGTCCCGTTCCCATAGGATGCTGTGGCATTTCCTTTGGAGACATGTCAGTGCCCCGTGGCACCTGGGCAGCTCCCTTTAGCCATGGGAGGAGCCTCTGACCCATAGCATTATTTACTTAGCAGTTCCTGCATCCTCGCTGCTCAGTATGGTCTGAGAGCCAGCGACATTCGGCGTCCCCCAAGAACTTGTTAGAAATGCGGAATCTCAGGCCCCATAGGACCCACGGAATCAGAATCTGCATTTTCCCATGAGCCCAGGTGGCTGGTGTGCTACTGGAGGAACGCTGGGGTGCACAGCTGCATGACCCCTTCCTTTGTGGAGGGGCACGGTGCTGTGAGACAACGGCCTCAATGAGCCGAGGAACAGGAGGCCTGGCTCATTGGACAGCCAGGGCTTGAGCAGGATTGGGCAGGGGCAGACTGCAGCATCTTGGGGTCTCCTGTCACTCTCCCTTCATCCTGGTGGTCACTCCCCACTGAGGCTGCGCTTCCGCCCCACCCTGGAGCCTCAGAGAGCTGCCAGCTCAGTGCTGGACACCACCAAACCCACCAAGCCTGTGATGTCGGTGGAGTTTGTCTGGGGTCCCTCTGGGCTCCTTCCTCTGTCCTGGGTGACCCCTCACTCCTTCACTCTTGTCTTCTGGTTCCTCCCTTCTTTACTGTCACCACAAGTCTAATACATCCAGCTGTCCACAGTCATAATGGGCAAACTAGGGTTTCTCCCAAGGCCATTTGCATTTAAAGAGTCTGCATTCAGATTCAAGGAATGCATTTCGTATTTTTTAAGCATTTATTTCTCTTAATTTTATTCAATTAATTAATTTACTTTTTTTAGCAATGGGGGTTTCACTCTTGCCCAGGCTGGGGTACAGTAGCTCGATCATAGCTCATTGCAGGCTTGAACTCCTGGCCTTAAGGGATCCTCCCACCTCAGCCTCCAGAGTAGCTGGGACTACAAGCACATGCCACCATGCCCAGATAATTTTTTAAATTTTTGTAGAGACAGTGTCTCACCATGTTGTCCAGGCTGGTCTCGAACTCTTGGCCTCAAGCAATCCTCCTTCCTCAGCCTCCCAAAGTTTTGGGATTACAGGCGTGAGCCATTGCGCCAGCCAAGAATGCATTTCTAAGTGTAGCATTTCCAGAGGCAGTGCACCAGTGGGGATGTTTGTTTTTGCGTGTGGGTGGTAAAGCTGCCTGCTTTTACTTAGGTCACCCTGATAAGGAAAGCGAGGCATTACTCATTTCGACTCTGCCTCTCTTTTGTTTGCCAGGAACAGCCAGCCACCTATTAACTGAGCATCTTTTTGGTACCTACATCTACTGGGTCTGAGCCACTTTCCACGTGCCTCTGCTTATTTCCCTGCAATGTCAGAATGTGGCCTATGTCATCAGCATAAAACTGAGATGACAATGCCTATGTTACAGAATTGTTGTAAGGATTAAATAAGATCATATATGTGTGTTAGGACTTTTTTTAGTTTCAAATGATGAGAACTCTCTTCTAACTTAGGTTAAAAAAAATCAATGGCATCTTCAGTCTGATGAAGGGTGTTTTAAGATGCATCGTGTTTTTAATGTGGCATTTAGAATATAATCTGCCTAAACCATGATATACTATTTTATTATCCCTTAGAATTGTTATTTTATACTTAGAGAGCTTGTTAAAATGAGTATAATAAACTGGTCCAAATATTTCTCATTATCTAGCTCTTCTGAATTCTGAGTGTCTCAGAGCATGGATGTCTGTGTTTTCCATGCAGTTTCATGCTCTGTGCCTCAGGACATGGATGATGCGGCCTTTCCAGAGAGAATGCCCCTCTGTTAGAGCTGCGATTCTCGTGCAAGCTCCTGGCACACCTTCCGCAGGTTCGCTATTGGGCCTGACATACTCTTACCAAGAGGCCATCAGTGGAAAGGCTGTAGACAACAGCCAAAACCCGCTTTCCTTCCTGAAGCGGCCCTTGAATGGTTTGTTGGTGGAAGGATCCAGGGGCTGAATCTGCTTGGTCAGGCCACGGAGAATAACAACCAAGTCACCCCACTTTTCAGTGTTCTCCTTCAGCAAGTCTGTGCAAGCATGATGGTGATGTCACACTCACATCTGGCTAGTAGCAATTGCAGGACACATCTGAATTTCAGAGATGTGAAAATGGGGAAAAACATCTATACTAAAACTGACAAAACCGAGGAGCCTGGGGGTGCAGCTTGTGTCATCTTTCCTCCTGGCCCCTGGCCCCCTCCTTCTCTCAGCTTTACTCACTCTTTGAGGTGGCCTCCCTTCTCCCTCTGCAATTGATCTGCCTCCACGTGCCAGGGGAGAGTGCCTCCGACAGCTCCAGGCTCTCCAGCTCAGCCACCTGCTCAGAAAATAAACCTCTGGGTGGGCTTGCTTGGTCCACATGCCCACCCTTCTGACCAAACATGACTGCAGAGGGATGGGCCCCACATGGGGGCCGTGTGGAGCATGTGGCCGAACTTGTATTTGGGATGTGACCCACAGCTCTATTGGCTCAGCACGCGAGAGAGCAGGGATGGTGGTCCCGAAGGAGGGACTCGGGGGCAGAACGGAGCAGCGCATGTCCACCGTGGTTGAAAGTGCTCTGCATGGTACCAGGTGCCTAGTACCCATTTCATAAACTCTGGCCCCCTTCAGCTCAATAAGTAGTCATTAGTATTAACAATTACTTTTTTCACTTAGTAGTTGATTACTTATTTATTGAGGTGCTTTTGTATAAAAGATTGAAGCTTTCTGAAATCAAAGTTAAGATTTTGTAAACATATCCCATGCCGTTGAACCTTTATCAGTCATATCAATAAATCATGCCCTTAGATTTACGTTGAGCTCCCTCTGCCCTATTGGCCACTTCTGCCCACTTGAACACCACTCCAAGGTCATCTGACGGCACGTTAGTCATGGAGTTAGTTATTTTTCCTCCAGATTATAAAGTCCTTGAGGGCATATGTTCTTGACTGGCTTAAGAGTACTGCATGCCTCTGTTTCCCATGAAAGCTAGGGTAGGCCCATTTGCTAAAATGAAGTATGGCTCAGTGTGGCGGTGCACACCTATAGTCCCAGCTGCTCAGGAGGCAAAGGTAGGAGGATCGCTCGAGCCCAGGAGTTGGAAGCTGCAGTGAGCTATGATCGTACTACTATACTCCAGCCTGGGTAACTGGGTGAGACCAGAAAATGAAATGAAGTGTGGAAAGTGAAGTATCTTACACCCTTTCAGATGTGGAGATGATTGCTCTTGATTAGACTAAATTCTGGATTTCCTTCATATGTATTTTTCAGGTAGCTTATTTAAAACTCGATGTACCTCTTGTGGCGTTGTGGCTGAGAATTACAAGAGTCCAATTTGTCCAGCTTTATCAGGAAAAGGGTAATTATACCACACTACAGAATAAGTATATGTTGTTTTCTCCTTTAGGTCGGACATAAATGTGAGGAAATTGAACATTCATCAAAGATTCCCATTGATATGAGAAATAAGACTAAATACAAGGCTGGGTGCGGTGGCTCATGCCTGTAATCCCAGCACTTTGGGGTTACAAGGTGGGAAGATTGCTTGAGTTCAGGAGTTCAAGATCAGCCTGGGCAACATAGTGAGAAACCTGTCTCTACAAAAAGAAAAAAAAAAATTAGCTGGGTATGGTGGCACATGCCTGTAGTCCCAGCTACTAGAGAGGCTGAAGTGGGAGGGTTATTTGAACCTGGGAAGTCGAGGCTGCAGTGAGCTGAGATCATGCCACCGCACCACAGCCTGGGTGACAGGGAGACCCTGTCTCAAAAAAAAAAAAAAAACAAATATAGCCTTGTGATAAGAGAAATATTTTGCTCACAACTTACAGTGTTAAGTGAAAACCACAGGGTCCTGAATTTATACACACATGAGTTTGTATAACTGCATATAGTTAAAAGACCAGAAGAAAATATAACAAAATATTAACAAGGAATATCAGGAGTGGAGGGATTATGGGTAATTTTTAATTTCTTCTTTATATCTTTCTGAATTTTCCTACATTTCTATGATGAACAAGCACTATTATTACAATGAGGGAAACATTTGAGGGTAGACACAATATTGAGGAAAATTCCATTTCAAAACAGTATAAATTATACAAGGAATGTATAATGTCATTGCAGAGGATACAAATGATGATGATGTATAAAGGTAAACATGAAGTTCCCTCTTAGCACACCCAGCTACTCCAGCCCTCCCTACACACGAATTCTCTCACTGGCAGTACAACCACTGGTGATTTTTTTTTTTTTTTTTCTGAGACAGAGTCTTGCTCTGTTTCCCAGGCTGGAGTACAGTGGCACAATCACACCTTACTGCAGCCTCCAACTCCTGGGCTCAAGCAATCCTCCTGCCTTAGCCTCCCAAGTAGCTAGGACTATAGGCACACACCACACTGAGCTAATTTTTGTATTTCTAGTAGAAATGCAGTCTCACTATATTGCCCAGGCTGGTCTTGATCTTCTGGCCTCAAGCAGTCCTCCCACTCTGGCCTCACCAAATGCTGGGATTATAGGCATGAGCCACTATGCCCAGTACCACTGGTAATTAATGGCCTGGGGTCCTTCCTTCTAATGCCCTTCCAAGTGAGCATGTATTAATTAGGAGTTTTACACCACATACTACCAGGCAAATATACAAACTGAGTTATGTTGTTTCTTTATTTTTTATTATGCCAATAACAATCTTTCTTTTCTAATATTATTTGCTTCAGTGCTCCAGAACCTGGAACTCAAGATGCCAGCATCCCAGTTGAGAAACTTCCCCGGTGGGTAAAAAGCTCTGATTTGTACCAGTGTTCCTGGTTACAAAAAAAATAGACATCAAAATCTAAACATGTATTTGGCAAGATGCCTCTTAAATCAAATGCACAAATGTGAAAACTAGCCTTGACCTCTAAGACCAAAAGTGAAAGGACAAAGGATGAACCAAAGTAGGATGAAAAAAATGATTTCTTTCCAACCCCTTTTTGCTTTGTGTTCTGGCGGGATCATTTCAGGTCGGGAAAGTTTCTGAAGCTGTTGTGTGACAGGTGGTTACCCAGTGTACAGAAAGCATATGGGCTGACCTATAACTGGTCAAATAACATCACTGGCATTATTAATCCATGGTTAAGGAGGCAATGAATAAGGAGGCAATGAAAGGACGTGAATAGGAGAGGTTACAGGACCCAACAGAATGTTCATAGATTTAAAAAAAAAAAAAAAAAAAAAAGATTTTGATGCCAATTTTTCAAAACCAGACATTAAAACAGCACTTCTATAATCTGTAATTGGATCAGAGGTTTTTTTGTTGCGGGTTTTTTTGTTTTTTTGGGTTTTTTTTGAGATGGAATCTCACTCTGATGTCCAGGCTGGAGTGCAGTGGCGCGATCTTGGCTCACTGTAACCTCCGCCTTCTGGATTCAAATGATTCTCTTGCCTCAGCCTCCCGAGTAGCTGGGATTACAGGCGCCCGCCAGCATGCCCGGCTATTTTTTGTGTTTTTAGTAGAGACGAGGTTTTGCCATGTTGGCCAGGCTGGTCTTGAGCTCTTGACCTCAGGTGATCCACCCACCTCGGCCTCCCAACATGCTGGGATTACAGGCATGAGCCACCGCGCCTGGCTGGATTAGAGTGTTTTTAAGGTAAAATAAAACAGCACTTCTAAAAGTGTTTCATAGAATATTAATTTAATATTACGTTGAGAGACATTACTTGATAAAAACATGTTAGGCACTCAAATTACAGAAATGTTAGACTAAACAAAGTTAAAATATGTTTGCTCTACTGCAGGACTTTTCAGAGCATTTATTCCACATTGCTGCCTTCTAAAAAGTGGTTATAAAATGTATGTTAATGCTTTACTGACTTATTTAACCACAGAACCTTTTAAATTTTCCTTATGAGGGTTTTAATTGCTAAATATTAAAGTTTTCTTCTGAAGGAATAGGGAGACCTGGAGGACTTCTATGATGCAGGAGATTACGATGATGAAAATGGTGTTTGAGGGATGATTTTAGGAGGTGTATAGAAGGTGACCCTGAGGTAGGAGGGAGTGAAAGAAAGAGATTTTTAGTAATGGATACAGGAAAGCTGACTACATACGGGGCCAGAGAGACGTGAACCTGAGAGCACATGAAAGGTCATCGATGAAATTAGGGGATGCTTGGGGTGGGAGGCAAACCTGAGTCCAGTATGACTCCCAGGTCTGGGTGGCTGTGAGCACAAGTGTGAGCATAATGAAGGAACCGGGAAAGCTTAGCTGAAACAATCTGTCAGCACATCAAGTACACAGAGACAAGATAAAAAACAAGGACAGTTCGGCAGGGCGCGGTGGCTCACGCCTGTCATCCCAGCACTTTGGGAGGCTGAGGCAGGCATATCATGAGGTCAGGAGTTCGAGACCAGCCTGGCCAATATAGTGAAACCCCATCTCTACTAAAAATACAAAAATTAGCCGGGTGTGGTCGCATACGCCTGTAGTCCCAGCTACTCGGTAGGCTGAGGCAGGAGAATGGCGTGAACCCGGGAGGCGGAGCTTGCAGTGAGCCGAGACCACGCCACTGCACTCCAGCCTGGGCTGCTAACAGAGCGAGACTCCGTCTCAAAAAAAATAAATTAAAAAAAAAAAAAAAAAAAAAGGACCGTTACACCTGATGCTTCACATGCAAGGCAACTTTATATAGGCTGGGAGGAGAGTGTAGGGAATAAGAGGCATCAGAGGTGAACCATCTGGACGTACTGGGTTTGGGGTAGCCCCTGGCCGCCCTCCGATCCAGCTGGGCAGACTTTGCTCGGGGTTGGCTCAAGGATCCCATTCTTCCAGGTGTGAAGAGGCAGGCTGCGGAGGCTTGCTGCGCCCTCACGTCGTGTGGTTTGGAGAAAACCTGGATCCTGCCATTCTGGAGGAGGTTGACAAAGAGCTCGGCCGCTGTGATTTATGTCTAGTGGTGGGTCACGGCTTTCCCTGACCCCAAGACAGGACTGGAGTTAGTTATTTTTTGCTTCCCCCTCTCCCCTTTTCCGTCCTCGCTCCCTTGCTTCTTTCCTTCCCGCCTTCTCTCCCCCCTCCCCTTCTTCCTTTCCTTAAAATGTATGTTGAGAGGTCTTTGTGGCATCCTATAGAAAAACTGAGAAACAATGAATAAGAATTTATATTAAAATAGGAAACCATGCATGTCTTGGACATCTCAAAGCCTTCTCCCCCAGCCCCACCAAAAAAAAAGAACATACTATTGGTTTTTAAAATAATACGTGCTTATGATTAAATTTAATTGAGAACATGCAAAAATTATCACATTATAAAGAGGAAATTAGAAATCGCCCATAGTTCTGCTAATCAGAAATAGTTACCATTAGCAGTTTAGTATATTTTCTTCTAGACCAGGAGTGAGCAAACAGCAGCCTTTGGGCCAAATTGGGCCTGCTACCTGTTTTTGTAAATAAAGTTTTATTGGAACTCAGCCGCACTCATTCTTCCACACACTATGACTACTTTCAAACTACAGTGGCAGAGTTGAGTACTTGTGACAGAGACTGAATGGCTGCAAAGCCTGAAAAATTTACTCTATGGTCCTTTTCAGAATAAGTTTGCCCACCTCTGGTCTAAACCTTTTCTTATGCAGATGTACACATATTAATTAAAATTCAAAACTGACTTCATGACATATGTTCTGTTTTGAAACTACTTTATTCACGCAGCAGTTCACTTAGCATATTCCATGTCAGTACATCTAAATCAATATCATCTTTCAGTTGACTGTATGGTGTTTTATATGGATAGGGAATGATATATTTAGCTAATTCTCTACTGTAAGACATTTGGGCTATTTCAAATTTTGATATTTTAATCAATGATATCGTACATATCCTTAGATAGAAATCTTACCATGCTCTTCAAATGATTTCCTTAAGACACATTTCCTAAAAGTGGGATTAATTGGACAGATTGTATGCATATTTCAAATTTTTCTGGACACATCTTTAAAAGCAGAGGCACTTTCTTGTGGTGCATATTCATTCAGCCAGTATTTAAAGAATGCTTTCCAATGTCGAGTATAGTATCACTGTTGATGATGGATTGTTAAATGAGAAAAGCTGGTTTACAAACCAGTCATGCTCTTCCCATCCCTGCAAAGAATGTTTATAAGCAAATATTTATGAGAGAAAACCTAAGAGGACATACATGAAAATGTTAACAGTGGTTATCTTGGGGTAAGATTATTGATGATATCTATTTTTTTTCTTCGTATTTTCTACCTTTAACAAAAAGAAAATATGTTTTAAAAAGTTATGGATCATTTGCTTAACTTTAAAGCAGAAACAAAACCAGAACTACCCCCAAAACATGTTGAGTCACTTCTAAGTCACTCTTTTGTTAACTCTCCTTTTCATGTCACATATTCTTGTCGATTGTAGTGATTGATCAAAGGACAGCTCTTCACTTTCCCTCATCCCTTGGACACCCTGTTTTATCCCATCCTGTTTGGCTTTTCTCACACCTGCAACCACAGACCTATCTGAGTTTGTGTAAGGTTTTCTGAAAAAATGTTCCTTCTTGTCGTGTGGCCGTTTGTCCATCTCCATGTGCTTGCCTTGTAGGTGGGCACTTCCTCTGTGGTGTACCCAGCCGCCATGTTTGCCCCCCAGGTGGCTGCCAGGGGCGTGCCAGTGGCAGAATTTAATACGGAGACCACCCCAGCTACGAACAGATTCAGGTACTGGGATACCCTGATGGGAGAGGGCGATGTGGGAGGCAGGTGCAGACATGGTCATCTAAACATAGTTGACCTACTCCTCTAATTTTTAAAAAAGACACAGGGTTTGTGTTTTTTTGTTTGATCTGCAGTTGCTTTTATGGAAGAACAAAATCATTCACTGTAGACTAAGGTAGGGTAGCTCTGTCATTGTACACGACATTTGCCATGGGACTTTTGTTTGTTCACATTTTGAAAGCTCTTCTTTGATTCCTTAGGCTTTGCTTTCCCTTACATTTTTAAGCTAGACTCAGTGATGGCCTTTAGTTGTAGGTTACCCAGATGCTCCGCAAGTAAGCCTGGGAGACGCCCTTGCAGAACCTCATCACCTGCCGTTCTCACTGGGAGGCCACCTGGCAGATTCCCCTTTGGTCTAATCGCCAAGGTTATCTGTATCTGTGGCCATGTTATGACACTGATCCTGCTTCCCAAGTTTAGGTGGGAAGTGTAGATTGTCATAGTATGCATTTTTAGTCTTATTCCTGGGTCTGTTTTATGTCTTCACCCTTCTGTCTTTTTTCTCACTCCAACTTTTTTTTGCCTTTACTTCTTATTCTTGTCCATCTAGTTAATTCCTTTTGAATAAGTTAGACTATAAATAAGTAGTAAATGAATATAAATGAATAAAATAGAAAACTTCATTGAAACATCTTGTCATTACTTTAATCAGCAGTTTCCAACCTTGGCTGCATATTTTAAAAATACTGATGCCTGGGGGCCACTTCATGAAATTTCAGTGTCATTGCTCTGAGTTGCAGCCCAGACATCATTTGATAAGCTTCCTAGGTGATTCCAGTGTGCAGCCAGGATAGGAACCACTCTTCAAAGTCTCTGCTGGGATTTAAAAAAAAAAAAGGAAAAAAGAAAAGGGGCCACAGACACTTAAGTAGGCCCCTCCTCAGGTGAGTGAACTGGCTCTGGGCCTCTTCTTTTCCATGTGTCTTTTTGATCAGCTATAGCCTGTGTTCTTGATCCATAGTTCTTCATTTGTGTGTGAGTAGTAGGAACTAAGAAGATAGCCTAAAAAAAATTGCCTCCTATGCTAAACTTATACTTTGAAAACTACAGAACATTGTTGAAAGAAATAAAGAAGGCCTAAATGAATGGAAACATATCCAATGTTCATGGATTGGACAACTTAATATGATTAAGATGGCAATGCTCCCCAAATTGATCTAAGGGCTCAATCAACTCAGTCCTTATCAAAATCACAACTGGCTTTTTACAGCAATTAATTGAAAAGATTACTCTAAAATTCATATGAAAATGCAAGTGACCCAAAATAGCCAAAACAAAATGAAAAATGAAGTTGGAGAACTCATACTTCCCAATTTCAAAACTTACTATATATTAGCTGGGCATGGTGGCACATGCCTGTAATCCTAGCTACTTGGGAGGCTGAGGCAGGAGAATCAGTTGAACCCTGGAGGTGGAGGTTGTGGTGAGCCAAGATTGCGCCACTGCACTCCAGCCTGGGCAACAAGAGCAAAACTCCATCAAAAGAAAAAAAAAAAAACCTTACTACAAACTTGGAGTAATCAAGATAGTGTGGCACTGGCATAGGATAGATATATAGAATCAGTGGAGTAGAATTGAGAGTCCAGTAAAAAACAAAACAGAACAATAACACAAAACCTCACATTCATGGTCAGTTGATTTTTGAGAAGAGTGGCAAGACAATTTGATGAAATACAGTCTTTTTCAAGAAATAGTGCTGGATATCCACACGCAAAAGAATGAGCTTGGAGCCCTCTGTCACACCATACACAAAAAATAACCCAAGATGGATCATAGACCTAAATGTAAGAACTAAAAGTATAACATGTCAAAAGAAAATGTAGGAGTAAATCTTTGTAACCTTGGGTTAGTGAAAGCTTTCTTAGATATGACACCAAAAATGCAAGTAACATAAGAAAAAAGGGTAAATTGGACTTTATCAAAATTTAAAACTTTTATACTCCAATGGGTACCGTCGATTAAGTAAAAAGACAACCCATAGAATGGGAGAAAATATTTGTAAGTCTAATATTTGATATTTGATAAGGGATTTGTATCCAGGATATATAAAGAACTCTTACAACTATAAATAATAAAAAGACAATCCAATTAAAAACCAGGTCAAAATATTTGAAACGACATTTCTCCAAATATATACACATGGCCAATAAGCATACTGAAATGATGTTCAATATCATAAAACCACAATGAAATATCACTTCATAGTTACAAGCGTGGCTATAATTTTTAAGATAAAGGAAAATCACAAGTGTTGGTGAAGAAACTTGAACCCTTATACATGGCTGATGGGAATGTACAATGGGGCAGTCATTTTGGAAAACAATGTGGCAGTTAAATATAGAGTTACTATGTGATCTAGCAAATCTACTCCTTGGTATATAGTCCTAGAAATGAAATCATACATCTACACAAAAATTTGTACACAAATGTTCATAGCAACTTGTTCATGGAAAAAGTGGAAACAACCCAAACGTCCATCGACTGAAGGATGAATAAATAAAATTTGGTATGTTTGTACAATGCATTATATTTTAGCCATAAGAAGAATGAGGTATCCATATATGCTACTACATGGATGACCCTTGAAAACGTTATGCTAAGTGAAAGAAGCTAGTCATAGAAGACCACATATGGTATGACTTCATTTATATGAAATATCCAGAATAGGCAGATCAATAGAGAGAAGGTAGATGAGTGGTTGTTTTGGCTGGGAGTAGGGAGGAATGGGGAGTGAGTGCTAATGAGAACAAGTTTCTTCAAGGTTGTTAAAAATGCTTTAAAGTCTATTGTGGTGATGGTCATATAATTCTGTGAATACACTAAAATACACTGAATTATATATTTGAAATAGGTGGAGTGTATGTGAATCAAACCTCAATAAAGCTGTTATATAAAAAATTAAATTATCTTCTAACTTATCTCCTGAAAAATGCACATTAGGCCTCCCTCTGATTTGTGTTGTGGCACCTATGGGTAGCAGCTGGGCCACTTAGCATGACTAAGAGTAGTAATACCAGAGCTAGGTAGCTCAAGCCTCCTGTCTGTTTGAAAGACCATCAGAAAACTCAAAGAGTGGGACAGGATGAACTTTGTGAAGCAGGACATGAGCTATGTCCCCAGTTTGGTTCTTCTAATATGGTTTCTTTTCAGTCATTTGATCTCTGTCTCATCTCTAATTATTATAAAGAATTAAAACAAATCACCATTGTAGAAAAGCAAGAAAATGCAGATAGAGAAAAAGAAGAAAATAAAACTGGAGTATTTCCACAACCCAGGTTTAAAGCTGGCCCCCATCTCCCGTGCCATGGACTGACCAGCAGGGGCCCAGCATCCCTTGCATATGGTGGCTGTGTTTTCATGTGAAAGAAACTGAACTTGGTGGTTTTTCCTGCCAGTTCAGAAGAGATTCTTGTCATGTAATATATATCATTGCACAAGTCAAGCCTCCTAAAACCACAGGCCTGTTTCAGCTGCTACTTCAGCCAAAATTCTTCAGCTTCATATTGTCTTGAAAACCTATGATTGTCTCTGACAAACAGGCTACTTGCTAGTTAGAAATTCTTATGAATTTGACAAGCTCCTTATCAACCAGACTGATCACAGGAACTGTCATCTGATCAATGAAGGAGTAACTGATCAATGAAGCCAGCAATGCTTTTTTCTTGGCATCATGAAAGCAGACATTTAGAAGAGATGCTCGTGATAGTCATCTCTTCCTACTCAATTTTTCAAAGGCACAAACCAACCCTGGAGCAACTAAGAGGACTGTTTAAACACAGAGCTTAACAATGGCAGAATTTTATATCTCATGCTTAACAGATTTTGGTTGAACTTTACCCTAGGTCAGAGGTCAGCAAACTACTGCCTGTGGGCCAAATTTGCCCACCACCTGTATCTGTAAATAAGGTTTCATTGGAACACAGCTGTGGCCCTATATTTGTATATTGTGTGTGGCTGCTTTTGCACTAGGATGACAGAGGTGAATAGTGATAGCAGAGACTGGCTGGTCTGCAAAGCCTAAAATCTGTCCTGTGTGGCCCTTTACAGAAAAAGTTTTCTAACCCCTGCTCTAGGTTAATGAGAAAAAAAAATGGAATAATGTTCCCTGCTACTTTTAACCTGATTTTCTTTGTTACCTAAATAGGCAGCTAGAATGCTGCCTATATTTTGATAAGGATTTGGATCTCACAAAACACCTTAGGCCTTGCACAATTTGTTCAGATTCTTTGTCCCAGTTCTAATCCAGAGACAAAGGCATAGAATTCTCCTCCCACAGGAATGTATTTATATTTTCAAGGTGTTAATTAGTTCCAGTTTTGGTTTTGTCATTTTCCCCATGCCCGATGCTTGTATCGGATGATTTCTGATAAACCCTGACTATCCCAGTAAACCCTAGGCATTTTTGAATTTAAACCTCAGTGTTTTGACTGTTAACCCCAGGGGGGCCCTATCTTGTTGGGATTTGTACATTCACTGAGGCAAAAATGGGACTGTCGCTGCAGGGAGCTGGTACGCAGGGCCTTCAAAGCACCTTCTGGCCACCGTGCCCTGCAGCCACTATGTTGTGCCCTGTTGATCTTTGAATTTCTCTAAACATTGGAATTTAATCAAAGTCCACAAATATTTATAAGTATCCACTATGTACCAGACACTGTTCTAAGTGCTTAGGATGGGATATAGCAGTAAACAAAACAAAAATCTCCCAAGGGAAGATTATATTCTAGTGGCGGAGGCAGACAGGTAAGCAGTGAACATAAGGTGCACATTCTACAGCATGTGAGCAGGTGCTAAGAGACCGCACAAAGCAAAGATGGAGTTGTATGTGAGGGGGTTGGGCTGACAGGTTGCAGGATCCAGTTGGGTAGACCACAAACCTCATTAAGAAGAGATTTGAGCAAACACTTCAAGGAGGTGAAGGAGGCAGCCAAAGAGGTGATCTGGGATAAGACCTTTCCAGACAGTGGGACCACCTGGAGCAGAGGCCCCTCAGTGTGGCTGGAGTGGAGTGAGGAAGAAGTCCCAGGAGAGGCGAGCAGTAAAGTAATGGAGTTGGGGGCCCTGGGGAGGGAAGATGCCCAGGCTATCTGCTGGTGGAGTTTAGAAGTCTAAGGAATTGTTAGGGAAGAGAGCTTTATAGATTGTTGTGGTTATATAGTTACCTATCTAGGGTGTGAAGAGGTCACTGCTTTGAAGTGATCGTTGACCGTGTGTGTTAGGGAGGTCTAGCGCTCTCCCTGGCTGTGCTGTCAAGGGCGAGTAGGGAAGCCCTCCTAGTCTATGCAGTCAGGGCTTAGTTGGTCTGTTCATTCAAAAAGCCACTGAAAACAAGACTGTTAGAAAAGGGCACATACATACTTTAAACATTTTGATTAAAGCATAAATGTACCTTCATTTCCTTTTTCTTTTCTTTTTTTTTTTGTTTTTGAGACAGTCTTGCTCTGTTGCCCAGGTTGGAGTGCATTGGCACAATCTCGGCTTACTGGAATCTGTGCCTCCCGGGCTCAAGCAATCCTCCCACCTAAGCCTCCCGAGTAGCTGGGATTACAGGCGTGCACCACCACACCTGGCTAATTTTTGTATTTTTAGTAGAGATGGGATTTCACCATGTTGGACAGACAGGTCTCAAACTCCTGGCCTCAAGTGATCCATCTGCCTTGGCCTCCCGAAGTGCTGGGATTAGAGGCGTGAGCCACCGCACTTGGCCTGCTTTTTTTTTTTGGAATAGAGCTAAAGGCCTTTTGTTTTGAGTAGGGATCTGCTGATTGGAGCTCACCTTTCTTACATAAATCGTATCCATAATCTTCCTCGTGTTCCCCAAATATCCCTGAAGATATGAATGACTCCAGCCCTTATTCTATTAAAAAAAAAAAAAAAAAACAAAAAAACAGACAACCAGGAAAATCAGATCCCAAGGCCCCCCACCTAGACTTCCTGAATCAGAATTTCCAGGGGGATGCCTGTTTATGTAGCTAGCAAATGACCCAGGTGATTCTTATCAAGAAACCTTGGCAAACACTGGATTACAACTTCTGTTTTTTGATATTTGTCTGTTTTGTTTTGTTTTTTTCTTTTAAAGGAGAGCAAGAACTTAGGAAAAGAAACACGTGAAGCTGTCTTCCCCCGTCTTTTACACCTACACCTAATTTAACAGAATTATATTTAGTGACTCAGTATGTCTTTCCCAAGCATTCAGCTAGTTTTCCTAGAAATAACTCTCGTTTAACAGCTCTATTTTTGCAGTTTATTACATAATTTTAAATTCAGCGAGATGATTACGTTAACCAATAAAAGTGGCATGAGCAGATGTGGAACTAACACTGTAGTCTTGGTTGTCCTGCAACTGGTGGGGGCAGGCAAAGTGCACAGATGTGCTAGAAAAGAGGCTTTCAAACAATGTTCATGTATGCCTTTCACATTTTACAAGTTGACATCTAAGGATTTTTTAATCAAAAATATTACAGTTGGAGATGTCATTCCAAGTGCATTGGAAACACTGACTATTTATTTATTTATTTATTTTTATTTATTTATTTTTGAGACAGAGTCTGGCTCTGTTGCCCAGGCTGGACTGCAGTGGCACGATCTCAACTCACTGCAACCTCTGCCTCCCTGGTTCAAGCAATTCTCCTGCCTCAGCCTCCTGAGTAGCTAGGACCATAGGCGTGCGCCACCACACCCGGCTAATTTTTTGTATTTTTTTAGTAGAGATGGGTTTTCACCACGTTTCCCAGGCTGGTCTAAAACTACTGACATCAGGCAATCTGCCTAGCTCGACCTCCCAAAAGTGCTGGGATTACAGGCATGAGCCACTGCGCGTGGCCAAAACACTGACATTTTAAAATAAAAGCTACCATATCATGGTTTTAAATGTATGCAGTCCAATCTGAATGTTATAACTATCTGGTACACACCACCATCCATTTACAAAATAAATATACAGCCCTTCCTTAACAATTGGAAATTTCACATTTTTTCTTTTCTCTTTGAACTTGTATTTCCATTCTATCACTACTACAGAATTTATACTAACGTAATATGTGTTTATGCATGAAAATCTTTTACTGGCCAGGTGCAGTGGCTCATGCCTGTAATCCCAGCCCTTTGGGAGGCTGAGGCGGGAGGATCACTTGAGGCCAGGAGTTCGGGACCAGCCTGGCCAACATGGCAAAACCCCATCTCTACTAAAAATACAAAAATTAGCCAGGTGTGGTGGTCCACAACTGTAATCCCAGCTACTCGGGAGGCTGAGTGGGAGAATCCCTAAAGCCTGGGAGGCAGAAGTTGCAGTGAGCCGAGATCGTGCCACTGCACTCCAGCGTGGATGACAGAGTGCGACTCTGTGTTTAAAAAAAAAAAAAAAAAAAAAAAGAAAAGAAAATATTTTACTGACTATCCTATTATACTTCTACAGCAAAATATCATATGAATTATTTACTTTTTTCAAATTCCTTAAAATGTTAAAAAATGTTTTACTAAAAAACTTCTAGATAGAATTATCACTATAGTAATCTGCAGTGCATAATTGTAAAAACAAAAACTATATATAAGTTTAGATTAATAATTCTAAACAAGTAAAATTTTTTTGGAAATTCTTTTTTTTTTTTTTTTTTTTGAGATGGAGTTTTACTCTTGATGCCCAGGCTGGAGTGCAGGGGTGCAGTCTCAGCTCACTGCAACCTCCACCTCCTGGATTCAAGCGATTCTTCTGCCTCAGCCTCCCGAGTAGCTGGGATCACAGGTGCCTGCCACGACACCCAGCTCATTTTTGTATTTCTAGTAGAGACAGGGTTTCACCATGTTGGCCAGGCTGGTCTCAAACTCCTGACCTCAAGTGATTTGCCCACCTCAGCCTCCCCAAGTGCTGGGGTTATAGGCATGAGCCACCGCACCCGGCCTGGAAATACATCCTTAATAGATGAATGGGACATAAACTTTGAATTGGTCCATGTATCTACGGCTGAGTGTTACATATTGTTGGAAGGAGACAGTTCCTCCTGTTCTAGCCCAATCCTCCTGTACTCACCATAAACCAACCAGTATTCTGTCCAGATCAGGTTTATTGATTTAATGCCATGAGGGAGACCAGACCCCAGCAGAACTGAGAAGTGTGTTTCCCAACAAGGGAAAGGTAGAGTTATTAAAGCAATTGGTGGGAGGGTGGAGTTTAAGTGAAATTTAAATGAAGTAGTTTTTGATAGACTCAAGCAACTAGCAGGGCTGTACAGTGTAAAGAGGTCAACATCATGTCTGGCTGGTGAAGTAGGCCAGGGTCCCACTTCCCCAGAAACTGTAATACAAAGTTTAGATCAATGTGGAATGTTGTGTCCAGAAATACCTTATCTGGAGCTCTGCACCCGGGTTGGAAATCCAGGCTGCTTCTCAGTATCAGAGTGACTTAGATCCTCAAGGCTAGAAGAATATTTCATTCTTTACTGCTATAATTTCAAATAGCAAAGTTTCCAATAGTTTATAATATTAAGGAACAAAATCCAAAAGCAGTAGTCACTCAAATAATGGAATTAAGACACTTCGCAGCTTACCCTTGGGGAAAATAGATAGTTTCCTGTGAACTTTGCAGCTGGCTTTACCTGTGTCTTTTATTCCGATCCAAAGAATCGCTGGGCAGATTTTGACCAGCCAAGCTACATTTTACTTTTTCAATGTCAGTTGTAATCCTCAGTGTTTGTTTGTTATAGATGTAAGTACTGAAAGACCTGGGCCACCTAAACTCTGGGCACAAGGGAATTTTTTTTTTAAGAGATGGGGGCTCCCTCTGTCACCCAGGCTGGAGTCTGTACAGTGGTATAATCATAGCTTCAAACTCCTGGCTCAAATAATCTGCCTGTAGTCCCAGCTACTGGGGAGGCTGAGGCAGGAGAATGGTGTGAACCTAGGAGGCGGAGCTTGCAGTGAGTCGAGATCGCGCCACTGTACTCCAGCCTGGGCGACAGAGCAAGACTCCGTCTCAAAAAAAAAAAGTATGTATATAAAATACATACATAACACATATATGTATATTTTATACTTAAAATTTCAATGAGTTTGGCAGTATAGTCCCAAAATACACTTTACTTGCACAGGTTCTCAGGATTTGAAAAGAACAAACAAAATACACTTTGTAATCATGTCTCTTACGCCTTGAAATAAACTTCTTCTTTATGGCACATAAATTCTAGACATTTGCTTCTCAAAATTCCCATAGTCACAGAGGCCAGCCCATAGTGAAGTGTTGGAACTAGAGTTGTTAGAAACTAGATGAAAGAAGTGGGCATACGAATTAATACCATATTAATGAGAATTTGGGTTTTACTTTGGGTATTACTTAAGAAATAAGTGCTTGCTGAAGTAGGGCATTCATTTAGCTAACCCGTAGTTCATAACTGCTGTATTTGCTGCTTCTTTTTCAGGTTTCATTTCCAGGGACCCTGTGGAACGACTCTTCCTGAAGCCCTTGCCCGTCATGAAAATGAAACTGTTTCTTAAGTGTCCTGGGGAAGAAAGAAATTAGAGTATATCTAAGAACTAGGCCACATGCAGAGGAGAAATGGTCTTACGGGTGGTGAGCTGAATATTGAACAATCTAAAAATAGCCTCTGATTCCCTAGCTAGAATCCAACCTGTTGATAAGCGATGGGGGCGTAGAAGTAGCAAAGAGCACCCACATTCAAAAGTCACAGAACTGTAAAGTTAATGCGTATTATTTGGTCTGAACTGAAACGTAAGATATCTTGGATGTGTATGGTTGGTTATTGGGAGGGAAAAATTTTGTAAATTAGATTGTCTTAAAAAAATATAGTTATCCTGATCATATTTTTGTTATTTGGGCAAGGTAGAAGTTGAGGGGTAAAAACCCTACTATTTAATTCTGATTTTTGCACAAGTTTTAGTGGAAAATAAAATCACACTCTATAGTAGGTAATTTATTATATAAAGATGTTACCCCAGGATATGGCTTTATGGGGGACTTTTTTTTTTTTTTTGAGACAGAGTTTCACTCTTGTTGCCCAGGCTGGAGTGCAATGGGGCGATCTCAGCTCACTGCAACCTCCATCTCCCGGGTTCAAGAGACTCTCCTGCCTCAGCCTGCTGAGTAGCTGGGATTACAGGCGTGCACCACCACGCCCGGCTAATTTTGTATTTTTAGTAGAGATGGGGTTCCTCCATGTTGGTCCGGCTGGTCTTGAACTCCCAACCTCAGGTGATCCGCCCGCCTCGGCCTCCCAAAATGCTGGGATTACAGGCATGAACCACCGCGCCAGGCTTACTGGGGGCTTTTTAACCTTATTTGGCTACATTACCTCAGTGAACAAGAGGCAGCTCACAACAGGAACTCATGCAAAGAAGGAAGAGAATAGTACCAACAAGGTAGAACATCACGATGAGAAGAAAGAACGATGCAAATATGTGAACCCCCAGGATAAACACAGCTGCCTAAAATTTAGCTCTGGCTCCCTTAGAAGGGGGAAGAGTCAACAGTGGACTGTTTCTCATCGTCACAAATGCAGAAGCATATGGTTCCTGTGGGACCTGCCAACCGTTCCCAGACACTGAACTCTGTTGGGAGTTTTTTCCATGGGACTTTAAAAACTGATGCCCTTATGTTGGGCCAGACCTCTGTTAACTTCAGTAGGGATGGCACCAGGTTCAAGGGGCCAAAGAAGAGACCTGGAGCCAGTGAAGGAAACATAGGGTATATTTGGGGAACTTTACAGGGTGGTCCAGTGGCAGCGGGCTGGACAGAACTGCAACCACTTATAAAAAGCATGCAGTTTATATAGCACTTTCACTCAGCACCCTCCCCGCAGCAACCTCCAATGGCAAACCTCATTTCTTAAGTTATTGCTGTCAGATGCATCTGCCATACAGGGTCATTCTCAGGCAATGCTTAAGTTATTTCCATCAGGTACATTTTCCATACACTTTACTACCTTGGAGTAAAGTAGCAAGAATACAGCTTTTTCCCTAACCTTTACCAGCTAACTCAGTGCTTAGGGGCCTTGGAATGCCTGCTGCCCAACAAGTGTCAGAGGCCTGACTGGGAGGCATGGCCATTATCAACAGTGTATGAAGGTCATACATGACAGGGTCCCTTGGATCCAGTGGGCTCCCTGAAGTGATTACATACTTGGACCACATCACCTCAGCCCCTTGCAAAATTGCATTTAATGTTACACCCTTGGCTTTTGTAGAAACAGGCAACAAGACACTGTCATATAAAACTTTGTACTGCATTACAAGGCATAACCTTTAATAAATCCCAATGGTACTTTTTGTGGGGAAGAGGGATGCTCATAGCCTATGGGGTGGCTGGAGAACTAGTCAGGGACCCTGAGGGCTCGATTTACACTTTACATGGGTGGGCCAAGGAGTTTACACTGAGGGCACTGGTAATACCTGTAATAGTCTTATAGTACTTATAAAGCAGTTTTGCACATAAAATACCGTCATGCGCTTATAAGAAGTTTGTTCCTGGGCTGCTCCAAGTTAACTGTATTCATTTTCCTAGTGTTAGCACAGTATCTCAGGGAGTCTGATTATATTTTTGATTTGTAATCTATCTTAGACTAAGGCCTACAGATTTCAAACTGTTCTTTGCAATTCCTCTCATAATGAACCTCTGGTTCGGCAGCTTTTTTTGTTGTTGTTGTTCTTAAGTTTTACCATTTTTGTTCCTATTTGGTTTTGTTGTTTTTAAATTGGGAACTGCTTCTAAAACAGAAGACATGAAAGGAGAATTAAAAACACAATATATGTGTGAGATAGAATTATCCAACTTAGCATTTATTAAACATCTGCCATATGATAGACATTAGAAATAAAATGACTAGCAAGACCTGGTCCTTCCCCTCGGGAGTTCACAGAACGGCTGGAGCAACTGTCATACAAACTGTTACGCAGCGCAGAAACTACATAGACATTTGTGCGGGTTCAGACCACAGCAGATAGAGATGGGCAGAGTGGGATGGGGTAGGGGGTAAGGTGCTTGAAGTTTGCCTGGGTGGGAATTTTTGAAGTATGAAAAGGACTTCTGCCTGGGGGATTGCAGCAGTAGAGGGAAGAGCACGGTCGGTACAATTGCATTGCAGGTGTGAAACGGCTTGATTTGTTCAAAGAATGATGGATCATTTAGTATTGTATAATGGATGGGAGGAGAGAAACACGGCGATCACAAAGGGCCATGTTTGCCAAGAAATAAAATATACTTGGAAAAAAAGAGTACGTATGTGTATATACGACAAAACTCGGGTGCATTCTGTAGGGACCGGCGAAGCCATTCCTTCAGGAGATTTGCTCAGCATTGCCACGGGCCAGCTGCTGCTCCAGGCCGTGGGTTAGGAACCAGGAAGGGCATCGCTCCCACAGGGCCCACATCCTAACGGGCCTCGCCGCGGCTAAGGGGCTGGGCAGGCCGAGGGCGCCGGGCTGTGCAAATTTCTTTAGAGCCGAGGTCTGTGGCCAGCGTCTTCGTCCGTCACAGGAGGGCTGACTGGCCACGGCGGCCATCTGCTAGAGCGCATTTCTTCCCATGAAACGCCATCTCCTCCGAAGTGCGGAGCGAACGCAGCCAAATCTACAAACACTGATAAGCTGGATCCACCTGACGGAACCCAGGGCCAAAAAACTGCGGCGAGCAGCGCCTCGGACCCGCTATTACCGGTTTTCTAAGCACTGGACAGCGTGAGCCGTGCCAGCCCTGTCTCGCCATCCCAGCCGAGGAGGGCAGCGCGATGGCTCTTCCCTGCCTTGAAACCAGCCCCACTGCCAGCCGCTCTCGCCCGCAGAGCATTTTCCGTGGCGTCCAACCGACCCTACGGCGGCCTTGGCGAGCCATGTGGAAGAAACACACCCACTGCCCATAGGCCACGCCCTTCCTGGCTTCGCGCATGCGCCCCGCCCGTCCTGAGGACCTCCCAACCTGCAGGGGGCGATGAAAGTCCGCTTGCGCTTCGCTTGCAGTTGCTTCCGAGTCAGAGGTCAGACGGTCTAGCGCTGCGTGGGACATGGTGCAGCTGCGACCGCGCGCGTCTCGCGCCCCGGCGTCGGCGGAGGCGATGGTGGACGAGGGCCAGCCGGCCTCGGAGGAGGAGGAGGCGGAGCACGGGCTGTTGCTCGGTCAGCCCAGCAGCGGCGCGGCCGCCGAGCCGCTGGAGGAAGACGAGGAAGGGGACGATGAGTTTGACGACGAAGCCCCGGAGGAGCTGACTTTCGCCAGCGCCCAGGCGGAAGCGAGAGAAGAGGAGCGGCGAGTGCGGGAGACCGTGCGCAGGTTTGGAGCCCGCGGCCGGGCGGGGAGAACCGCCCCTTCTCGTCCCGCTTGTCCTTCCCTTTGCTGACTTGTCACCCTTCCTCTCAGGGATAAAACGCTCCTGAAGGAGAAGAGGAAGCGACGCGAGGAGCTGTTCATCGAACAGAAGGTTAGAGGATAGGGGGGAGGTGTCTTATTAAAACAACCTGGCCTGCGGATAATTCTCGTGGTGGATGTAATTTGGGTTGGTAGGATATTGAGTGGGGAAAAAGTCACCAAGATTTTCTCTGACAGTGGTAGAAAGATGCTTGGGCCGGGCGCGGCAGTACTTTAGGGGGACTAGGTGGGCGGAGCCCGGGATGTCGAGGCTGCCTTGAGCCTAGATCACACCACTGCGCTCCAGGCTGGGCGACAGAGCGAGAGACCCTGTCTCAAAAAAAAAAAAAACTCGTCTCCTTTAGTGTCCACCAACTGAAAATAAGAGGTTGCTGTGAGAATTAGGTGGTTTGTAAACTGTAAGGGCTGTACAAGACTTGGTGTATGGTTGCTTTGCTGTCTGGTACACACTCGACACAGAGAACTGGCTCCAGGTGGACATTACTTAACGGCTTTCAGTTTGTAACAGTGACCTGAGGGTTGGAATACCGTGGGCACCTTTTCCAGTTTTCATCAAGTCTTTCAGAGAATATGGAGTTTTGTGGACCCAATCTTCCCATAACTTGGAGTGGAGGCAGTTTCCAACCTAATTCATTTCTTTGCGTAGATGTAGGGCATTCTTAGAAGTGGTAACTTCAGAAGCAACTCCGGACATACTGTGTACATGACTTTATTAATTTTAAACGTTTTCATTCCAAAAGAAAAGAAAACTCCTTCCAGACACTATTTTAGAGAAGTTAACCACAGCTTCACAGACTCTTAAGTAAGTAATGGATCTTCTTATATTACTTGCTTATATACACTCATCTTTGAATTATATACTGGTACATTTATTTGACTCCATATAGCTGAAGGAATTGTAGAACCCAAATTTAAAAGCTACCTTGGTATATGAATTTGGTGCGAAAGGAGGAGGTAACTTTATGTTTCACTTATTTTGCCATTTTTTGAATTCCTGATCCCATTGTGTTCATTCAGTACATTTTGTTGATTGCCTGTTATTGTACTAGGGCAGAGTAGGTGGTGGTGAATACAGAGTGTTTTGAATCATTTAGTGGGGTAGCAGGCACTTATCCACAGGCTCTGAAAACTCAATTTGTCCCATACTTGCCTTACCTACCACCAACCTGTCCTTCCTCCCTGTTCCCCACTTCATTTAGCATCTTTGGTGTTTTATGGTTTAAAGCGAAAAGGTATAGTCGTCCTTGAGAATCGGTCAAACCCTACTAAATTTAGCCTTCTAAATATTTGTATTTTTTGTTTCTATCCTCTTTCTCCTTAAGGCTTTAAATTCAGAAATTTAGCCCCTTTTTGCTTAGGCCAGTGGCTCTCAAATTTTCAGTAAAAAAAACTACCAAGAGTTACTCAGATCCTGAATACATTAAACATAAGAGCAAATCTATTTGGTGGCAAATTCCCTTTCATCTTTTAAAACCAAGCTCAAGTGTCATCTTTACCTTTTCATTTGGCCCGCCCGCCTCCCATCACTTCCGCTTTTGTGTGGCCTTTCTCCTGTGCAAATGCTTGTGTATTGTATTCTGTCCATTTACATTTCTCTCTCCATTGTTCACTGTCTCCTGTGCCTACACTATTAAATTAATCCTTTGTGATTTCTCCAAATGAAATGAGGCAGGCCTACTACCATTCACTTCATATTTCAAATACTATATAACTTGTTATTAAGTGTTTCACTTGAACTCCATTGCCCATAGCATTTTGCTGCTTTGGAAGCCTGCTAATAGGCTTTCAGATTTACATTGTGAAGATCTTCCAATGATTGAGAGTTGGTGGCAGTGTACTGGGGAGTGACTGTTGCTTTCCAAACTGAGAGCTCCTGAGTAGAAATTGAGGGTGTTGGTAATGAAAGGGAGTGTCTTGCTTGTAAAGTCAGATGAAATAATATAACATATTTTGAGTAACCTTTGCTATCTGCCATTCCAGTCAGTGGTTTTGTTTTTTTCCCTTAGTGTCAAGAAATCGCCAGGAAAGGTCAAAGAAGGTATGACTATTCTAATTTAAATAACTTTTCACGTAAGTGTCAAGTGCACTTGCAGATGTTTCCAGTCAAATATGAATGGCCCTTAGAAAGCCACGGGCCTGGCCAAGGTTAGCTGGGGCCTATTCCCTGTATTTCATACAAATAAAAACTGCATCCACATGGGTGTGTAGTGGATGCTTAAAGTGAACTCCAGTAAATTTCCTGATTTATTTTTACATGAATGCTAATTAGCAAATGTAACTCCATTTTTTAGTTAATTTGCAAAAGAAAAATGAAGACTGTGAAAAAGGAAATGACTCCAAAAAAGTTAAAGTACAAAAAGTACAGTCTGTCAGGTAATGAATCTTTTGTTTTGTTTGGGATATAAAGGAGACCTCTAAGAGAGTTAAAGTATTGGCTAACATGGGAAATATTTTAATTAGTAGTAATTTCAGATTGGATTCTCTGTGGAAAAATCAGTTTTGGGCTGGGCACGGTGGCTCACACTTGTAATCCCAGCACTTTGGGAGGCTGAAGCAGGTGGATTGCTTGAGTCCAGGATTTCAAGACCAGCCTGGGCAACATGGTAAAGCCCAGTCTCTACACAAAATAAAAAAAGTAACTGGGCGTGCTGGTGTGCTCTACTAAAATATGAGTGTTAGTCTGTTTCTTGTAGTCCTGTAATTTAGTTTTATTCTATCTGTGCATATACAAAATTAGTTTCATTTATCACAGTGAGACAAATGATAAAAATATATTAAAGCAAGCATGTAGGCCGGGTGCAGTGGCCCATGCCCGTAATCCCAGCACTTTGGGAGGCTGAGGCAGGCAAGTTGCTTGAACCTGGGAGGCAGAGGTTGCAATGAGCTGAGATCGTGCAGCCTGAGTGACAGAGTGAGACTCTGTCTCGGGCGGGGGTGGGGGGGAGAGAAAGCAAGCATGTATTAATTCTTTTTTAACCTTTTATATTGATGAACAGCCAGAATAAAAGCTACTTGGCCGTCAGGCTAAAAGACCAAGATCTGAGAGATTCAAGGCAACAAGCGGCACAAGCCTTCATACATAATTCATTATATGGGCCAGGAACCAACAGGACTACTGGTAATTTTTTTATGGACTATTTTCCTCACTTTTTACTGCAAATAAAACTATGAAATGATAAATACCTTTCATTTCTAGTAAATAAGTTCCTGTCTCTTGCCAACAAGAGGTCACCAGTGAAAAAGGCTGCTGTCCAGTTTTTGAATAATGCTTGGGGTAAGATCCAGCTTTATTCTCCTGTCTCTTAATAGCTTTATATGTTGAATCATGTTCTTTTGAAGGAGATAGTTCATAATTATATGCCCCTTATAATGGCTTATATAACTTGTGAAAAACAGGTCAATGTAGTATGTATATACATCTAATGTATAATAAGCCCACCCAGTTTTAGTAATTACATTCATGTAGAGAATTATAAAAATTTTGAATTATGTTTCTCTAATACTCTTACTGCACAACTTTCTATTCTAGGAATCCAGAAAAAACAAAATGCCAAGAGGTTTAAAAGACGGTGGATGGTCAGAAAGATGAAAACTAAGAAGTAAATCAATGCTAAATGAAGAATCTGTACTTTGTATGTATAGAATTTATCTAATAAATTATTGGTAGATAATTTTAAAGGATCATTATAAAAATCATAAACCTATTTGAGGAATTACTCAACCACATTTCATTCTTCTGGAGTAGAATTGTGCCTTGCAATCCTAGAGGAAAAAGTGGTTTAAGAAGGAATTTTCTTTTTAATGTATTTAACTGAATTCAAGCCATACTCATACCAGCAATAGCACCTCGTCTACTCTCCCCGACTGGGGGGTGGGAGGGGTGGCAAAAATGGCACTGACAAAAAGGAGAAATGGACATTCCAGAAAAGTCTCCAACTGCAGCCCTTAGACAATTTGCTGTTAAAGATTCAGTGGACAAAATATAGCTAGCTAACAGCGTTTAAATTTTTACTTTTAACCAGTCTGGGGTTGCCTGGTGAGTCTCATATGCCATATTATGAATATGAAAAAAATGAATTTAATTTCCTGTTGCCTTTCTGTGTCACCCATAATATCAGGTTTAACCCTAATCCAGGGATGCCAGTAAACTGAAGGCAGTTTTAGGTTGTAGAACTCAGATTAATTGTAGAAACCATTAATTTTAATTGCTCTAATTTTCATATTAATCATAAAAAGTATGCAAGTACCTAATATATAAACTCAATTGACACTGTATCTGTAGAAGTAAATTTTTAATGGCTGGTTAATTATATCACTACATTTTATTGCAATATAGTACTCATTTAAGCACTTAAAAATGGAAGGTGTACAAAGATTAAATTAAGACACGGTAAATTGACTAAATATTTGGTTTTTATATAAATAAAGGTCATAACCACACCGTTGACATGTAATACTGTTATAATACAACAGTTAAACTTGTGAGTCTACAACAGAAGTCATCTGTAGTTAAACAGGAAACAAAGTTGAAAAAGACCATGTTAAAACAAAACTACTGGGACTAACAGGTTGGGATTGTAAGTAGCAACAAACATATTCACTCAGCTCCTGAGTATTTCAAGTTTTACAGTACACATTAAAAATGATTTCTTCCATCAACACTATAAATTCAAACTGTCGGATGTTTATGCATTTTGCAAGTTACACTGATTGAATGCTTATATGGGAGTGGGGGTCGGAACATCTCCCAATTTGAAGTTTACATCACCCACATGCTAACACAAACACAACTTGTTCCATTTCCTTCCCCTCTCTCCCCCCTCCCCCACAAAGAAGGCAGGATTTTTGGTTTCTTTTAGGTAATTGTTTTAAAGGATTTGTGATGATCAATTTGAACGTCTGAAATTCAGTAATATTTAACTCTTAGACAACTAAGAGGTTAAAGATGGAAAATAATTTCTCCTAACACTAAGTTAGAAAATCATTTGCATCATGCTGTAAACTAGGAAGCAATGTAAAGCGACAAAAACCTGTCCCCAGTACATAATTTAAAAAATCTAAATTTCAAATCAGCAGAGCTGGTCTACTTCCATGTTGACTATATGCCACAATATAAGTGTGAGCTCTTGAAATGCATAGCTAATGTAGGTAGTCTTCCACTGTGGCAAATGCGCAGGATCCAATTCCTGATCGAGCCATCAGTCCTAGACATTGTGTGGCCTGTCCCATTGCTAGGGCAAGTGGAGGTTGCTTTGGCAGATTGTGGGTTTCTGAAGAAAAATAATTTAAAAATGAAAACAGCAATTAGCAAGACATTTTAAAAAACATTTCAATCAGGAGAATACTGCATGACTTTAAAAACTACCACTCCCATACCACTCTGAAATATCAGCAAATGAAGGTTCCTAAGCAAAAGATGCCTTGGACATACTATTCTGACAAGGTAGTATGGGTATTGTCTATTCAGCGATAAGATAAACTCTTGCAGAATCAGATTTTTAAAGTATCAGATACTAAAAAACTGATTTCCATATTAACTATGATGTTTTGGAAAGGTACAACTTTTTATTTGATATTTGGAGTGGAGAGTAAGGAATTATTTCCCTTCTGGTTGATCAAAGTCAGCTGATACTAAAACTAAAAAGGCACCAGGTTTTCATTACGAGTTTCCACTGATGGGTTCTTCCACCTCTGTGGATGGGACCAAACTGAGGCTGCCTAGCCATCTCCAAGGCATATATAGGTAATGTTATTTGGGCTGGTGGGGAGTAGGTGTTGGTGGTGACAGTGAGAGAACATACAGTAGAGCCACCCTGCAGTTTTGGAGGTGCTAATTTACAATGGACAGTTCAGACATTTTTAAAAAATGCCAATAAGTTTTCAGGGTCCTTTGTCAGACATTTGTAGTACAAATGCAATAATTACCAAAATTTGTTCCTTGCCAGAGATGAAAAACCATGAACTAATGGTAAAAGTAGCCAGACTCAGAAGCTGGTAGTTTCTCTTTATGAGAAGGCAATGTCCAACTAATCAATAAAACTACTGATCAGTTCTTTATAGGCACAGTTGACAACAAAGGGCAAAAACAGTGACACATGGCTAGGAAGGCTCCATATGGTTTAACTCCACTCTTGGTTCAGAGGATGCAAATTGATGGTGGGAGAAAGAAGAGGAAATTTGCAAAAGGGAAAAAGCATAATATCAAAAAGAAGCAAATTCAGGACTTAGAAAACAAAACAAAAACAGGATTAAGAATAAAAGTGTGCAAAAAAGGCATGTAGACTGGTGAGAAAGTATGGTGTCTTGAGGGTTTACAGGGAAGACCGTGCTCAAAGGCAAGCATCTACAGGGAGTATTTTTAAAATTTTATTTTGGTCAAAGGAAGCATTTGGTGATACATCTTTAACTTTTTTGGATATATGAAATTTTCATAACACTATATACAGATAGCCCTACATAAATAGCATGGTATTTATAAACATACATACCCATCTATAGCAATTTAATAATTGTGTCATTAATTTTATAGGAATCACATGCATTTATATTAATAAGATTAAGCACTATTTATAGCTGATTCTACATAATATAGAACAATATGTCAGAGTACATGTATCTATAGATAATGGTGCTCAATTAAATTCCCTTGAAGAACTCAAGAAATTAAACTTAAAGAAAACGGGTCACTTTTTCTCAAATTCTTTCCAAGATTAGTATCATCTAATAATTAGGTCTTAATGATTACCTACAATATGGTAACTTCGAAAAGACAATTATAGTAAACCATAATTTTCTGTACAATTCCAGCATTATTACTAAGTTACTTTTATCAATGGAGCTAAATGAATTTTGTAGAACCAATGAAAATATAACACATTAACCAAAGAAAATTCACATTTATATACAAATCCTAAATTTCAGAGAACTACAGCACTAAGGACACTACTCCTATTCCCAAACTTCAGTACTGATCCTTAACAAATCAATAAATTTTCTAAGGGCAAAGAAACAGACTGAGGCTCAAATATGAATGCTTTTCCTTGCTTCCTTTACATTCTTGCCGTAAGAGTCCTGGCCCTCATTTGCAAGTCTCCTTATCTAAACTACTCTTTCATCTACTTTTTGTGGCACTGCCCTCATCTTCCTAAAATAATTTGAAATATGTGACTAAAAGTTTCTGAACCTTGCAGGGCCAAACAGCACAGCACAGACTTCTAAACTAGACTGGAGTCCCAATTACCTGGGAATTAAGACTCAAAGTCAAATAAAAACTCACTCTTTACGCAAATTACCTTTGATGAGAACTGCCCAAAACTCAAATTTGTTTTATGTAAACAATCGACCATACCACATTTATATAGAAATGCACAATATGTGCAGTTACACAATTCATACAAAAAGTATTTGTTCAGTATATAAATACTAGAATCATACACTCTACAGTGAGTTGCTCATAGGAATGGCAACCAAACAGGAACATCGAATTAGATGTTTCGCACTTCATGCTCACCCCTGGCTAAGCCTCACCTTTTAAATTGCTTTTCTCTTCCTCACCCACCCTTTTTATTGGGTGAGGGTACGTAGTTGAATCTGGCTAATATAAATGCAAATAGAATTTGACATCAAGGCTTGGTCCTGCAGGGTACTCACAAGTCACCTGGAAGGCCCTTGTGCTCGTATTCATAAGCATGGTGGGAGCTGTAATACCCGTGGCTTAGGCTGCCGCTACCCATTGCAAATAGCTCAAGCAAAATGGTGGGGAACAAGGTAACAGGGGAGCACCAGGTAGGAATCCTGCCTTCTACTGGATCAGTTTGAGCTTCTCTGATACTCAAGCTCTTCACTCCCTTATTTCCATTCTCATTCTCCACCAAAACCTCTATTTCTTGACTTTGATTTTCTTCAAATGTACCCTGTTCCCTTCTAGCCTAACTCTTGTGACAATTATTAATCTATGTTCTTGTTAACATTCTCCGATTCCTTCTACAACAGCCAAACTAGAGAATGCCATGCAATTGCTAGCCTAGAAATCAGTAGCAGAAAATGCCTTTCACTACAGAGGGCTGTAAGGAATGTCTCTGGTAGGGCAATAGTTTGAATTATACAAAAGAACCACCAAATCTCTCATTCAAATGAGAGTAGACATTCGTGGCTACCAGAAATGCTTACATACATGCACAAAAAAACTTCTATTTCCCAAACATCCCAAGTTGTACCCCATTTTACTGTTTTTATTCTATTTAAATCCATTTGAATCTGGAATTAAAGGAGGGGGGTTTCTGTATTTTAGGTATTTTTATATTTAAAAAATATAGAAAACATTCTCCTTATGATTTTACCAAAGTATAAATGCCAGTACAAACACCCTCTCTTAAATTTTCAGAGAATCTAGTTGAAATTGTGCCTTATTTGGCTTTACTTACCTAATATTGCACTGTTAAGAGCTGAGCACACAGGTTCTCTCTGAATCGGGTCAAGCTGATTTCCAACTGGGCTGTTCCAGGGATCTGAATATGCTAGTAAACTGAATGCATCCTGTTGAAAACACACCAATTTGGTTTTAATTCAAATAGTTCAACTCTTATGCTCACAAATGTTTCCAAGTTGGGAGGTAAAATATGGCTTCCAGGCACTAGACTAATGTAACCTTTAAACTCACTTACTCCTAGCACTGGGATGCTCTACATTTTTGAACAATTAAATTATGCAGCAAAGCCTAATTTATTTTCATTTTTCCTGTGGACAGCCATTCTCATTCATCTTCCTCCCATCCCTAAACACAAAACAGAAAAAAATAAAAAAATTCAAAGGAATGAACTAGTACAGGTGTAGGGAGAGTGGAAGGCAAAACATTCAGTTGTTTTACTTCACAATTTATTACTACTGATATGAATGTGACAGTCAAAGGAGAGGGCCTGCCTGCATTTCCTTTTTTCAACAGATTTAGGAACTGGACACATCTCACTGAATATCATCTTCTCAAATTCAGTTATGAAAAAATTGAACAGGCTGCCCTTCAGCACCTGTTTTATGCATTCAGTTATTTCCAGCTACTTTCAAGCCACTCCTCTTCAAAACTTAAAATAACTGACAGTCTTCTTTTCAAACAACTACTTTACATTTTTGTCGTCTTTCTGAGAGGCACATACTAATGGTGGTTTCAGATACTGGCTTCAAATCCAAGCCCCACCACTAACTGGCTGTGTGGCCTTTGGCAAGTAACAATCTAAGTGCCAGTTTCATTATCTGCATAATGGGGACGATAAGAGGCTCCATTTCCTAGATTTGTATGAGAACTAAACGAAATTAGCAGTATCAGTTCATTCTAATCTTTCAATAAATGATGTCTTATTATTATGCCAAAAGTCAATACCCTAATCCAGAGCAATATTATACAGAAATTCACACACACTTCCCAATTCGGAAGGCAGACATGGAGAGTTGCTGCAGAAACAGTCGATTTGTGAGCTCAGGAACATAACACTTTCAAAATGCTGACTACTGAAATTCCTAAAGAGCACCATCTCCTAGGTTCCGCTGCTCAAAAAATCAGATTCCACACCCATTTTCCATCATTTCTCTAGTTATCTTACTAGTGTTATGAAAGCAGAGGTGGGAGAGAGGCTCATGATCAACTGTACTCTTGCCCTTTCTCATCCAAATGAGCCTCTAACATTGTGGATTTAGAGAAGAATAACCCATGAAGAAATGCTGTGAAGTCAGTCTGAGACAAGGCATGGAATGCACGTGCCTCTACGCAAACAAACATGACTCCTCCACTGTTTTATATTGCTGAATACTTCATTCTGGGTAGTTTTCTGCTCCAATTATAATAAAAGTTCTTTGAAGATAAAAATTATTTACCATACTATTTTGAATCCCCTGAAGCTACTCAGGTGCTTGGTACAGGAAGATAATTCATACGCCTGTTGATAGCAAGACCTGCTTCTTCCAGCACTGAAGATGTTTTATGCATCCCACAAAGCTACTTGGTTCTACTTCCCAACCCATGGAAGGAACATATGATCCTTTATCTTGTAAAGCTAACCCAAATCAAACACATTAGTTTGTTTTTGGCCGGGTGTGGTGGCTCACACCTGTTATCCCAGCACTTTGGGAAGCAGAGGCGGGCGGCTTATTTGAGGCCAGGAGTTCAAGACCAACCTGGCCAACATGGTGAAACCCCATCTCTACTAAAAATACAAAAATTAGGCATGGTGGTGCATGCCTCTAATCCCAGCTACTCGGGAGGCTGAGGTAGGAGAATAGCTTGAACCCAGGAAGCGGAGGTTGCAGTGAGCCAAGATCGTGCCACTGCACTCCAGCCTGGATGATAGAGAGAGACTCCACTCAAAAAAAAAAAAAAAAAAAAAAACACGTTATTTTTAAAGATTGAGCTTTGCTCAAGACTTATCCCACAACCATCTGATGAGGGTACCATACCCATAGTATAGAAATAAATTTAAAAAGAAATATTGAACAATTTTTCCAAGGAATACTTGGTAAACAAAAACTTCAAGTACAAAATTATATTCACAGCCTAAACCTAACATGCCACCGAAAATGTGAAATGTCGCAGTCCCAAATCTTAAGACTACACTGTCCAGTACAGCAAACCACCATGGCACACGTTTACCTATGTAACAAACCTGCACATCCTGCACATGTAACTTTTAAGTTCCTGTACCCTGGCACTTAAAGAAAAAAAAGACTACACTGTAGTGTTTAAAAACTCAGAGAAAAAGTTCTTTAAAATGACAATATATTGTGCACTAATATTGTATGAAGAAGTGTGTTAAGCACTAATATGGATCATCTATTTAATCCTTACAATAATCATCTAAGGTTAATATCATGTCTGTCATCTACAGAAGCAAACTGAGGCAGTGAATAGTAAGATGCAGATTCTTTTAGTTACCAATCTAAATGTTAAGAAGAAGAAAAGTCTAAAATTTTTCTCTGGTATTTCAGTTTCAGTACAATTCAACATATGTTTACGGAATACAGCTGCCAGATATTGAGGATACACTGATGACCAGGACCTAGGCACTGCTTCAAGGAACTCACAAGTCTCCTGGGGAAGGCTTACATGTAAATAAATAACACACAGTACATCACTATTGACTTAATACATGCAAACTGAGGCTGAGAGAAAGGAGAAAAAAGCATGGTTGGAAACATGGATAAGCGGTTAGATGCTAAAATACCCCAAAAAACATACTAAAAAGCTTGAAGTTTTTCCAATAAGGAAATAAGGTTTAAAATGAAGGAAACCGATACGGATTAGACTTTATTTTAGAAGGATCACACAACAACACTATAAAACATGGCTTGAAATTAGAGTGAGGCTGTAAGCAACAAAACTAACAGAGACTTAAAAAGAAAAAATGTTTTATACCATCGAACTCACAGTAGTAAACATCTAGGACTTTATTCTTTCTTCACAAAGGAAAATGAATGAAACCGGCAAAACAATACTAATGGTTTAAAGCCTGCTGTAAAAATTAACTGGTGATGATAACCAAAGAAATGCAAATAAGCAATTTTAAGATACTAACATATGTTGAACCCACTAAAGTAGCATTAATGTAGTAGTGCCATTGGTACGTTCTTTTATTACTGCTGGTAAAAGTTGGTAGAGGGTTTCTGAAAACCAGTATAGCAACACGTAGTGAGAGCCACAATAATGTTCATATTATTTGACTCAATTCTATTTCTAGAACTTTATCTCAGTGGAATAATGTGAAGAAACAAAGATGCATGTATAAAGATGTCACTAAAGCATCTGACATAAAAGCAAATGGAAAAATCCAACAACAAAGCAATGTTGAAATAAACCTATACAGCAACAATAAAATATCATGGAGCCTTTTGTGTTTTTTGAGACAGGGTCTCACTATGTCACCCAGGCTGGAGTGCAGTGGTGCAATCACAGCTCACTGCAGCCTCGCACTCCTAGGATCAAGCAATTCTCTTGCCTCAGCCTCCCAAAGTGTTGGGATTAGAGGTGTGAGCTGCCACACCCAGCCTTGTGTAGCCATTTAAAAATAATTAGAAATAATACATAGAAAACTGGGAGGAAATAAATTCTTACAACAAAATAATACAAAATAGTGCCACTACGGTTATTAGCTAGTTAAAATATATGCACATGGGAATTAAGGCACAAAACTGAAAATACCTGAAATATGTAGCATTATGGGTTATTTTAAAGCAAAAAACATTACCTCAGTGGAATAACTTCTGAGGGAAATATGACATCATTTAGGTAGGATTTTCAAATTGTACTCATATTTAGTTTAGAATCTGGAGCAGTTTCTAAATAGGGTGACTCTCAATGGTTCTATTGCTATTTCAGTTACTAGATTAAAGGCTCCTTGCAGGCTGGGGCTGTTCATTCATACTGGACTTTCCAGAGTCCCTACAACAATGCCTCTCCACACTGCAAAAATTCAATAAACAGCTGCTCAACAAACAATTTAAGAGTTCTTTTGGGAGCCACTGGAAAACGTAGCAGATAAGGAACAAAGACAACAGGAAAAGAGGAAAGAAGACTGAAAAAACTAAAAGGAAAAAGGTCAAGAGAAACAGTGTGCCACCTGACCTTCAACATTAATCAAATCTCTCTCTCGTGTGTGTGTGTCTGGATGTGCATGAACTTCTGAGTCACATGACTCAAAGTTTATGCAAACCTAAAAATGAGATTTTTAAAAAAATGCTACAATTACAAGTGAACTAAAGTGACGAATAAAAAGTGGTGGAATGATTTCTAAACCTGTTTTCTCTTCATGTTGCCCTCAAATCATCTGGCCTTGTTCTTTGGCTACTTATAAGGTGGGTCAGTTACTCACCTTATCCCTATCTAGATCAAGGTAAGTTTGGGAAATGAGATGGAAGCAGCTCAGAGTATTAAGAAAGTCTCTGAAAGTAGCTGGCATTTGCTTAGAAGTTAGAGGTGCAAAATCAAAGATATCTATACTCTTTAGAAGAAGATGATATATCTTCACACCCTTCAGTTTATAACCAAGGAGTATCTTTGGGAATTGGCCATATAATGCCATCTTCTGAGCTTCATGTAAATAAGAATCAAACACAAAGTAAGCTAATGGAGTATAATCTTAAAGTTTCAAAGGTACTTCATCCTGCTCAATTAGCATGAAGTTTTAACAAGAAAGCCAAGTCAGATAGCCTAGTGTAAAAAAAAGTCTACGAATTCTTAAATTTAAAAAAAAAAAAATTCTTATTTCCAAATATGCCCTAAAACAACAGTACTCAAAGTATGGTTCAGGGATACCTGGGTCCAGGGACCTTTCAGGCAGTCTGTGAAGTCAAAATTATTTTTATAATAGTACTAAGATGTTCCTTGCCCTTTTCTCTTTCATTTCCTCATGACTATACAGTGGAATTTTCCAGGGGCACATGATGTGATATCACAACAGACTAAAGGCAGTCTGGTCTTGTATGTGAATACAGCTCACCTATTAAACCAAGCAATAAAGAGACTTAACAAAAAAATATAAAGCAATGCCACTCTTCTCATTTTTCTTTTTTTTTAAGAGACAAGGTCTCACTATGTTGCACAGGCTAAACCTGAACTCCTGGGCTCAAGTGATCATCCTGCCTCAGCCTCCTGAGTAGCTGGGATTAGAGCCATGCACCACTGTGCCAGCTCTTCTTTTTGTTTGGGGAAGATAATTATTTTTCATAAAAATAACTTGCTTCTTATTTAATGGATTTATTTTAAAATGAATAGTTTTAATTTTAATAAGGTAAATATCAATAGATGTAACACATTATATAAACAAAAACTCTTCGGGGATCCTTAATTTTTTTTTTTGAGACAGAGTTTCGCTCTTGTTGCCCAGGCTGGAGTGCAATGGGGCGATCTCGACTCACCGCAACCTCCACCTCCCCAGTTCAAGCGAGTCTCCTACCTTAGTCCCCCGAGTAGCTGGGATTACAGGCATGCGCCACCACACCCGGCTAATTTTTTGTATTTTTAGTAGAGACGGGGTTTCTCCATGTTGGTCAGCCTGGTCTCGAACTCCCGACCTTAGGTGATCCACCCGCCTCGGCCTTCCAAAGTGCTGGGATTACAGGCATGAGCCACTGTGCCTGGCCCCTTAATAATTTTTAAAGGATTCAGACATCAAGTATGTTGAAAACAACTGCCCTAAGACATCCTCAGTACCAACCAAAGTAGTACTCAGTTTCCAAATGGGTAATTTTAGACACCTAAAATAACTTAATAAAGAGCCTAAATGTTAAGTTTCTTAGCACTCCTAGTACCAGAAAAAGTTCTACCACCAAGTTGCATAGTAATGAAAATCCCCAATGTGGAAAAATCTATTTTACTTTTCAAATGAATTCTACTTCAATTTAATAAACACAGATTGACCAACTTGGTGCTAAACAATGGAGGCAGTCAATTAAGATAAATATTTAAAAGGGGAAGAGTTAAGCTGGACACAGTGGCTCATGCCTATAATACCAGCATTTTCAGAGGTCAAGGCAGGAGGATTGCTTGAGGCCCGGAGTCCAAGACCAGCCTTGGCAACACAGTGAGACCTCATCTCTACAAAGTTTAAAAATAAAAAAAAAAATAAATACAAAAAAGAGGAGTTTTAGCAGTCTGAGTTCATGGAAATCTTAATCTCCTCAGGCAAATACGGATATTTTCCAGATATATGAATGTCTGATTTGACTTTTTTTTTTTTTTTTTTGAGAGGGAGTCTGGCTCTGTCGTCCAGGCTGGAGTGCAGTGGCGCAATCTTGGCTCACTGCCATCTCCACCTCTCGGGTTCATGCCATTCTCCTGCCTCAGCCTCCCAAATAACTGGGACTACAGGCGCCTGCCACCATGCCCGGCTAATTTTTTGTATTTTTAGTAGAGACGGGGTTTCACCACGTTAGCCAGGATGGTCTCGATCTCTTGACCTTGTGATCCACCCGCCTTGGCCTCCCAAAGTGCTGGGATTACAGGCATGAGCCACCATGCCCGGCCTGATTTGACTTTTTAAATTAAACTTGTTTCAATTGCATAATCCACCAATTATTTTTTATCTAGCATAAAAATAATAATTTAACTTTTTGGATAGCTCAAGGTAACCACTAGAAATAGCAGTTTTTATACTATCGAGTAGATGAAGTACGAAGTATGATAAATAAACCTGTCTTCCCATCTCTGCTAGGGAAAAATACAAGATTGCATGCCTTTAACTTGAGGTGTTATAGGTGGCTCTATAACCCATCCTAGGCCAGGCAAGCATGTTATGTCCTACACGTATGCTATGTTTCAGATTTCAGATTTTTTCAAATTTTAAAATAGTTACTGACTGAGCATCTCTAATCTAAAAATCCAAAATGTTCCCATGAGCATATCCTTGTGCATCATGTTGGCACTCTAAGTATCAGATTCCGCAGCATTTCAGATTTTCAGATTAGGGATACTCAACCTGTACCAACTCTCAGTCCAGGTCAGGAAGAGAAAGCAGAAGGAATCTTTTGCCCTTTCCTACCATCCCTAAACATCAGTCCCAAGGCCATTGCATTCATCTCCCCTTTAATTTTTCAATCTTCTTCCAAAATATTCAGAAGAAAATGTTTACAATGAACCAACTGTTAAAGAGCTGTACATCTCTACAACTGCAATGCTGACTTAAGTTAGGAGAAAGCCCCTCCACCTTCAACTGGTAGACAAAACTGTGGCTACTTTATTGAATTAGATCACATCCATCCTACCAGCTCATGGACAACAATCCAGAAGAGACTTTAAAATGTATTTTAACTGTTCTGGCCATGAAAAGTGACCCAATTCTTCACTAATCCTCATCAAAATGAGAACCATGTGTTATACATCCAAATTGCTATAACCCTGAACAATATTTACTAAAATAAAATCTCAGATTTATAGTTTTATCTGCACACCCACATTTTTCCTAGTAACTGCTGATTTTACAGCTGAGAAAATAAAACTAAGAAACTAAGTTAACAAGGACACACAATGTTGATAAGCACTAGTACTGGGATTTAATCCTTTTTTTTTTTTTTTTTTTTTTTTTTTTTTTTGCTTTAGTACAATGCTCTTCCCAGCAGATCAGAACTGAACTGCCTAACTTCTTCAAACATTTCCACTCTCAAATGGGCAAGGAGCCAGGGGGAAGGTCAGGTCCAAGTTCCCTAACAAGAATTTCTAGTACACTGCTCAATGTTTCGCAAAACTACATTTTAGTTCCTTTGACACATTTATAATTTTTCTTTTTTTTTTTTTTTTTTTTTTTTTTTTAGACGGAGTCTCGCTCTGTCACCCAGGCTGGAGTGCAGTGGCCGGATCTCAGCTCACTGCAAGCTCCGCCTCTCGGGTTCACGCCATTCTCCTGCCTCAGCCTCCCGAGTAGCTGGGACTACAGGCGCCTGCCACCTTGCCCGGCTAAGTTTTTGTATTTTTAGTAGAGACGGGGTTTCACTGTGTTAGCCAGGATGGTCTCGATCTCCTGACCTCGTGATCCGCCCGTCTCGGCCTCCCAAAGTGCTGGGATTACAGGCTTGAGCCACCGCGCCTGGCCGACACATAATTTTTCAAGAAAAAATATATTCACCTTCAACATTTTTTTATTTGCAGTGTTCTTGCCGCAGTCTCTCCTTAGCTGTTCACTCATCGCTTGCAGCTCTCGTCCAAAGTGGATCATTCTTTCTATGGCGGCCTGACTTCCTCCACACAACTGGCGTCTCAACTGACTTGAATCAACTTCTGTAAGAAAAACAGACAAGTATTTTACTACCTTATGGAATGGAGTATAATGAAGACAACATACATTTCTTATAACATTTTGTACATTTAGTAACTATTCCC